TAATCGAAAAGTTACTAGTCGTTATTATGAATAATTATTTTCTTTTTTCTACGGCCTATTAAATTATTACTTAAATTGAAATATAATTTTATCATTGAACTCGAACGACTAAATTTTGCCATATAGGTCACATATAAAAATATTCACCGCGCCCATGAATAACGAATTGATTTAACCAATAACATTTATTAACATCTATCTGGGACACTCTCTTTCAAAAGATTTATTTTATTACTTGACTTTATTTATTTATTTACTTTCTGATAATTACCACTTTACACTTTTACAAAGACTATATAAAATGCAAAATCAATACCTCTGATTTATTATAATCGAATGTGTTTATCAATGAGTTATTGTTGATATTAGCGATAAAATTCTCTCTCTCTTCCTCTCTCCATCTCTCTTTCTATCTCTCTCTCTCTCTCTCTCTCTCTCTCTCTCTTATTCTTTTTTTTTAACACTATTTACATTTAACATATACGTGACAATATCGATTATTTACATTCGTATCTAAAACAGATATGTCAGCATGAAATTTACCAAGATGAAAAATTATTTTTGTAACTTTCAAGAATGTGAAAAACGATCGACCCTTTTTTTGTACGTTTTTTTCATAGAACTGGATCTAGACTATTTGGAGAGGAGGGGCGGTGAGACAATAAGCTGTGAAAACTTGGAAAACGGATCGAAAGAGGAGGAGAGCCCGGCAGACAGTCTGGATCGAGTTAAGGTCGTTTTCCTCGGGGCACCTGGTGTGGGAAAGTCCAGTATAATTCGAGTGAGCCTCTTTAATAGATATATTTCCTTTTAAGAAATTACATTTCTATTTCACAAAGATGCTGATATTTCTTTTAAATAAAGAAAAGAGGGCAAAAAAGTTTTATTTCTTTTTTTTTCTTTTTCTCCTTCTAGCAATAATTTCATATTTTTATATTAATGAAATACCGATGTTGTAAAATAATAATTGATATATTTCTTAAGATCGTGAATATATTGAAAACTAGATAGAAAATGATCTTTTCGTGAAAAAAGAAAAAAAATGTTCTTTCGATATTCGTTACTCCGTTAATTATCTACCGGATAGGAGCGTTTGAGAGCTCTTTCGATAGATTGTCGAGGAAGATGGTAGGAGATAGGATTTTGCAAGATGCGAATGAATTCTGTTAATTTCCGGAGGTAGTTTCCGTCGGATGCGAGTGTCGAGCTCGAAGGAAATAGAAGGACCTGAAGAAAAAGAGAATAAACGTTGGTTAACGCGCTAAGAACGCTTCCACGGAATTCATTATATATATTTTTTTTTCTTCTTCTTCTTCTTCTTCTTCTTCTTCTTCTCCTTCTTCTTCTTCTTCTATCCAGGAGATGAAACGATTTGTCAGCGTCGCCAACACATTTTCTTGCTTTTCGCTTGTTCCTCTGTCGATTTTTTTAATTTGTCTGCACTTCAGCAATTCGTTTGGAGCGAATTCTCGGAGGAATACAGGCCCACTGAAAAACGTGAGACGTTTTACCCGAGCGTTGTACTAGCCGATCGATTGTACGAATTGAAAATCACAGATCTACCAACGATTCCATTCTTTCCTGTGAGTTCATACCTGGAATGGACGGATTTCCGTTATTATGGACTACGAAGCGCCACCGCCTACGTTCTAGTATTCGATCTGAGCAATCAGGAGACTTTTCAAGTAGGTATCACCGATATTCGAGAGAAACTTAAAAGATTGATTCATGCTTTAAAGTTAGAGAGAATATATATATATATATTCTATTTGATTACGAGTCGTAAAACAAATTTTATTTGCAAATGTTCATCACTCGTCATTAGAAACTTAAAAATATTCTCAAGAAGAGATCTCTACGTGACCTTTCATTCGATTCTCTATTTTAAAATACAAATAAATTTTTCATTAAATGTTCCTTAGAAATTAGATTGGAGTCATGTTTGCATAAAATATAGGTACTCTAAGTGTTTCAATGTGAAACTCGATCGAATTCAAAGTATTGCAAATTATGATAAAAATAGAGATTAAACAATATTGAATTCTTGGATTTTCTTTTCTCAGTATATCAGAAAATTACGCGAGCAGATCTACGAGGCACGGGACATGAGAGGTGTACCTCTTTTAGTGGTTGGCAATAAACAAGATGAGCTCTCAAGCAGTGTAGCTTCCGGTACAAGGTACAGGGATATCGTCAATCTCGTACGAAAGCATTGGAGATGCGGTTACGTTGAGTGCAGCGCAAGATTCAACTATCGTGTCGTACAGGTCTTTTTTAAAGTTCTTCATCTTCTTTTACCTTCTACTCTAAAATTATTATCATTTAAATTACTTTCAAACGAGTTCTGAACACTTTGGGAAATAATTTCGAATACGCTCTACAACAATCAAACTTCTTCAAACTCATATCTTTCTGAATGAATCCATATAAACGTTGTTTGTTTAGTTTTTATTTCTTGTTTTTTTTAACTCTTTTAACTCTTGTTTTTATTTATATCAATTTTCTCCAATTATTTATGTAAATATTGTGTAACAAGCCTGAAGATAGGCAACGCTGCGTACTTTGTAGATAATTTTTTTCACCTCTTATGATAGGCAACATATGCATACATGAATGTAAAAACGCGTATATTGCCTATCATAGGGGAATTTAAAAAAGAGATTGTCGACGAAGTATAAAGTATTGCCTATCTACAGATATAAACGATAATACGATAAACAATATTTTTGTGAACAATTTTGAAAATAATTCATTCCTTATATTTTTCATAGCATTTCTCATTTTATCATTGATTAAGAATATAATTTCATTTCGAATAGATTATTAATTTTAAATTAAAATATTAATTTCATCTGGACTAAATGAAAATGATCAATCTTGAATAGATAATAAGAATAATTTGAGATATCATTGTGTACTTTCACAGGTTTTTCGAGAATTAATGAAGAGTATTCAAGCCGTAGAAGGAAGGCCGCCATCGCCAATACCTGCACCATCATCGCAGCCTTTGCGTTCTCATCAGCATGACAACAGCGAGAAATGCATTCTTCTCTGACACTGAGATCACATAATAGACGTACTCGATCTTTGCGATCGCATTTTAGCGAAGAACTGCTTCTTCTCCGACTCAAAGAAAGATTCACATTGATTTACTTCGTTATTCCTTTTTTTTTAGCTTTTGAATCTTTTATTTATTATTAGCCTTTCGTAAATGTTCCCTCATTGTTGGATTATCTCTCAAAAAAAGTTCATCATCGTGTTCATCGTTGTTTACATTCGTCGAATGTTGAAACAGTAGAGTTGGTAACAACTCAATAGACCTCAATTAAGTTTATTGGTTCAAACCGGAAATTTGCTTTCGTATCTGACAGCTTCCAATTAAAAATAATACATCTCGACTTTCATTTTCGACTATACGAATTGGATAACTTTCGTTTAATCGACAAATTATCTGCCTTTCCTTTATTACGTTCTTCTTTCATATTACTCGAGCGTGTGATATCATTGTGATAATCAAACATTTCACGATGCGTTAATCTTACAAGTTACTCGCTCGTCAATTTAAAAAATTGTTCGTTTCTCGTGAGCATCGAGTTGAATGACGCATTGTATTTTAATCTTTGACGTTAGAGTTTTCATACACACATAGAGAGAGAGAGAGAGAGAGAAAGAGAAAGGAAAGAGAAAATGGAAGAGAATGTTAATAGATAAAAAGCAATGATAGAGTACGTACTAGTCAAAATTTGAACAATTGAAAATGAACGTGCATGTTAATTATCGTAACACGGCGAACTTCAAAATACAATTATTGTTAAACGATTCAATGAAAACAATACCCTATTTCCAAATTGATTAAATCAATCATATGTGACTATGATATACAAGTTGGTCAAAAAATTTCTAGATGATTTTAAAGATCAATTATTTTTTTTTTCGAAACTTTGTGAACTAATTTCTGTTTCCAATTGTAAATGAGTTCCTAGGCTTACAGTTTTACAATCTTAAAATAAAAATTAATCTAAGAAGTCTCGTAAAAAAATAATAGATTCTTCAAATCACCTAAGAAGTTTTGGCCCGCCTAGGAACTTTTGACCCATCCTGTATAACGCGTGCAATTAATTCTTGATTACATACACAAACACGTATACATATATATATATATATATATATATATATATATATATATATAGGCAGACACAGGAATATATACGTATATACATGTGCACATGATAGGAATAAATGTACAGCAATTTTGAGAAAATTTTTTGCTGACTGGATGTTAAGCAATATATACACGAATCATTTTACAAATGTTACTCAAGTTGGTCTTTCTACAGACCTTTACGTTAGCTCAAGTTGTGAAAAGTAAATTGCGAAAAAAAATATTATAGAAGCTCGTAATAAAAAACGCACACACACATATATACACACAAAAGAAAAGAAAAGATAAAAAAAAGAAAAAAAAAATCCATAAAAAAAACAAGAAAATATTATGAAACTATATAACTGCCGAAATCTGTACACGCGCACGAGATTAAAAATTAGCGATCAATTAATCTCATCAACACATTGTAGGTAATTCCACATCCTTTGATTTTCGGCCTAATAATATTGTAACAGCGATGGGCTGTCGGGAGTTACCTCAACAGAAGCAATAGTATACACATCTATTTTTAAAATAATTATTGTTAAGAAAATTAATCACTAGCATGTAAGGAATAAGAAGAAGAAAAAGAAACGTAGCAGTATTTATGAACAGATATTAAAATACATGTGTATGTATACATGTATATATATATATATATATATATATATATATATATATACATATACGATATGAGTGTTAATAAATATCGTTGTTATCGTTTATATACATACGTAACATGAATATAAAGAAGTTTGTATTTTAGCTTCTAAGGATAAAAAGAGCGAGTTGACTTCGTGATATATATACGTACATATATATATATATACATATATATATACACATATATATATAATATATATATACTATATATGTATTATATGTATACTATATATATATACTATATATATATACTATATATATAGTTGTTTATTAGTTCCGGTATTTAATCGGATTGTTATTTAAAGCTATCTAGGCAACGTATGTATATCGTATACATACATTGTACGATATGATATACGTAAATTAATTATAGACCACATGATGTGTGTATGTGTGTGTATATATACATATATACATGTATGTATATATACACATACAAGATACAAAACGCGTGTTCGTTGAAAATCTTTGTACCCAGGAAAGAGAGAAGTGTTATTTTATGTGTGAAACGTGACTCTTTATTTTCTATTCCGAAGTCGTACAATAAAAAATTCCAAGGAGAATTGTTTTTGTAATACCTAATAGAATTTTTTTCATTTGATTGATATATTTTCCTATCGTTTCTCATTTGTTTTACGATCATTCATGAAATGTTTATCTTTGGCATAATCATGGCTGGGCAATGGGGTAAAAAATTATCAAAATTATCGTAATATAAATACTAATATTTCAATCAACAATATATCAAATCGAAAACGAATTTCTAAGTCTGAGATTATTTAGCTATGTCTGAATTGTCGAAGAAAATCCGAAAAAAATGTTATTAAAAAGCTTTGGATATCAAATCGCATCGAAGAATCAAAAAAGAGGTTACAGAATTACTGGCATTTGTAAATCTAATTCGAATATAGGACAACGATACGTGCTAAGGGTTCGAACATTATAATTAGAATCCTTTATGATCATTTATGTAATAATTATTGACTATAGCAAAAGATTTTTTTATGAAGGTCAGTACAACGAGAGGCGTTCCAAGTACAAGTACAAATTTGAAGGAAGCTCTGTGCGAAAAAATTCCGGTTCATTATGATCTCCTTCGAAATTTCCGAAAAGAACACGGTCAGTCTGTGATCAGTCGTATTACTGTGGACAATGTATACGATGGTCTTCAAGGTGTCAATACAATGGTCAGAGAAACCTCTGAAAATGATTCCAAGTATGGGGTAATGATGATTACCTAATCTACAAAGAAAAGAAAGCAAAAAAAAAATTGTATTCGTTAGGTTTATATATACGTATAAAGGATAGACATATTTATTAGATTAGGTACCGTGGATTAACTATCCCAGAAGTTTTAAATCTTCTTCCACGTAATGGAACATCTCCAAGTGTTGAAGCTGTTTTTTGGTTACTATTAACCGGCGACGTACCCACTCAAGAACAGACAAATTCATTGATCAATGATTGGTCCTCTCGACGACAAAGAAGAAAAGAATGGTGGTTAGGACCAGGTGGTGGAATCGTTGGTTCCGTTCTTCAAAATTTACCGGACAACGTGACACCATTGGGAAGACTCTCGATCGCTTTGACTGTTCTTCAAACAGATAAACACACAAAAAAGGCTCTTCAGAACGGAGCTCTGAATCATACTCATTGGGAGGTAACAGGGAAAAAAAGATGATTGCCTTTTTTATTTTTTTTTTTTAGAGGTAAATTAATTCGTTTTGAAAATTGTACACGTTAATTCCAACGAGTATTCATTTTGTTATAAATGTCAAATGTAAGAATTCTTGGATGTGTAAAACGATGTAATAATTCTTCTAAATACTTTCTCTTTTATTTTTAAGCATATTTACGAGGACAGCATGGAACTATTAGCAGCGTTACCAGCCATTATTGGCCTCGTTGGCAAAGGTCGAGAGTTGAGAAACGTGACGGAAGGAGGTGACTGGATAGATTTTCTTTTAGAATGTTTGAGCAATACTTCGGAGGATTTAAAAGGCAGGACAACATCTGTTGGAGATTTCCTTCGTTTATACGTCAGTTTAAATGCGTACGTTTCTAATTCACTTTTACTTTAGTAACATCATCATTTACTTTAGTAACATCATTACATCTGTTGCATATACGATATATATGTGCAACAGATGTATTCATTCATCTATCGACAATCGAACTTATCGACAATCTAACTTATCGACACTATTATTATTCGATGATAAAACGAAAGAGTTATCAAAGTTTTAGTTTATACATTTTCATACTAGATGGCTACGATATTTCCTATTGAAAATATACAATTATCATGTGAGAATTTTTTACCGACAATTATATAAAAGAAAATTTTTAATTTAGCGATGAAGATGGTGGTGTACCTGGTGTACATATAACACAAATTTCGGGAGCTTCATACTTAGATATTAGTCAGGCATTAGCTTCAGGAGTTTTGGTTTATGAAAATGAACCGATTACGGGAACGATGTTTCAAGTAAATCAAAAAGCAAACATTATGTTAATATGTTATAATTATAAATGTCTGGAAACTTCATCATTTTATATTAATATAGTACATGGAATTTCAAAAAAAAGTAAAAAGTATTTTGGGTACTAAACCTAAGGAAGAAACATTGAAAGATTTTTTGACGTCTTTTATTAAAGAAAATAAATTGATTGGACATAAGGAAACTCGATTCCTCGATTCACGTTACGCGGCACTTTTAAATCATGTTAAAGCATATTTACCTGGTGATGCAGAAGTAAAGGCGAGTGATCGATATATATATATATATATATATATATATATATATATATATATATATATATATGAACGTTATGATATATTTACATAAATGAACGTTTAACAATTAATAGAATTATTGTTAAAAGTTAATTGAAAATTTTTTATTTAATTTAGCTTTCTCAAGATATTACGCGAGTTTTGACATTTCTGATGAAAAATACGAAAAACAAAAATATCTTTCCAGAAGTTAACAGCATAGCTGCTCCAATGTTTCAGGTAATATTGAAATCCAAGAAATTTCTTCTTCGTTATTAATTGAATTATGACATAATAATAGCTGTATTTGTTCAAAGTTTTATGGACTGAAAGATATGAAATTCAATCAAGTATTACTCTGTATGTCACGCGCATTGGGAGCAATTGCTTCGATTATTTGGACTAGAGCGATCAATGCACCAATCGAACAACCAAAATCAAACAGTACATATACATATTTTTATTCGCTTCGAGATATTCGTAATAAAATGAAAAAAAGGACTCGAATTAAACATTTAACAAAATTTACTTCGTAATAATTAGTGAAGATATATAACAAATGAGTTACATTGAGACGATGTTGAGTTTATTATAAAAAAAAAAAAAATTGTAAATATTTATGAAACAATCGTTATATACATATATACACGTAAATACACAATTTCATGATTAAAAAAATAATAATTCAATGTATTTTGATAATGAAATAAAACAGAAACTTTGTATATGTTCGTATTTGTTTGAAATCATGATTACAATATGGCGGCTCCCGCCAAAGAAGCATTTTCATAATTTCACAGGCGCTTCGTTTATTACGTACAAGTTGTGTCCTTATGACCACAGCAAAATAACAATCTGTTAAAATTGTAAAATTCAGTGATAAAACTGTTCGTGCCAAAATAACTATCATGGATTTAATTGCGTATTATTTATTGTACGATCTTTAGGATGCGCAAAAGACGTGTTTACCTGTTAAGAACGGTTTGAAGAGTTTATATTATCAGAAAAAGGAATAGAACAAAATTTTCAGAAACTGTAATTTATGGCAAGAAGAATACCATTTAATTGTAAATAGTTATAAATCGTAATGTTCTTATTTGTTATATAATATTTTATTATAAGGATCGAAGATTAAAAAAGTATAAAAATTAATGCAAAAATATGTTCTGCATTTGAATTTAAAATTTAAATTCTTATCTTCATTTGTTTTAATGCAATTTTGAAAAATATTTCATTAAAGATATATGATGGCAGAAACGGAAAGAATAGAAATATCGGAAAGCAGAATCAATATGCACGAAATAAATACTAATGAGATAAGGCCAGTGTCAAGTTTACTTATGACTCATTCAATAAATTCAACAACATCTGGATTTATAACTAATACTCGGATGTTTAATTTTGGTAGAAGAACAAACCAACATTCCAGAGTTTTGGCTAACTTGTCTTCTACTTTTCAAGAAATTAGACCTTTTATAGAACGAACACGTACTGTACGTTATATATATGAAAAAATTTTACCATATTTTAATACTATTAAGGATATCTCATTATTTAATTAATTTGATTTTTTATAGAATCCTCGCATTGCATTAAGCTCTCTCTTAAATCTTCAAAGGCTTCAGAATCAATCAAGAACAGTTCTTCCTTCTACAGATACCTATGTAATTAATGTTGATGATCAAACAACAAGCAATATAAGCATGCATAATCAACCTGCACATGATCATCATAATCATCGTACCACAACAACAGATAATTTTTTAAATAATATACGTGAAGCAGCAAATGAAGTGGCAGCAGAAACACATAATAATAATGGAGATGAAAGCGCTCAAAATAGACTTCAAAGAAATCCAGAAGCAGCAGAACTATTACGTATATTGCAAAGATATGTTCCCTATATTTTAATACTTTTAGTTAAAGGCATTTATGATCACCGAGCAGGGATACTAAATTTTATAGTATTGCTGAGTACTTTCATATGTGCCAATAATGATCTTAAGCATGAAATTGCCAAACAACAAAACAGAAGTTGGACATCTTTATTGTCAATTATGTGCTTCATAGCAGGTTGCTTTCTCTTCTTAAATGTTATGTTTGAAATACATATATTTACAACTCAACCTCTTTCAATCTCAGAGCTTCTGTGGTCAGTAGTTGTAACAGATTTTGTTCTAAAATTGATCACTATTGTTTTTAAAGTGATCTTAACTTGTTTACCTGTAAGACTGCTGGCATTTCACAAACGTGTAAGTACTTCATTTTTATGTTTACAAGAGTTTCTTTTATATATATTATAAAGTTTTTAAAATACAATATATACTTATACAAGACAAAAAATTATTAATAATTAATATTTATTTAGGGAAAATTTTATGTGATGGTAGAGGCTACATCACAACTATGTCGATGCGTTGCACCAATTCAACCATGGACATATTATTTGACTGAAACATATCAAGGCCCAGAAAGAATAGTAGGAATTTTCTTATCTGCAGTATATACTATCAGTAAAGGAAATGATTTACTATCATGTGTAACATTGTTCATTAAAACATTATTGAAGTTAGTGCATAATATGGTATGTTACTAATTTTGGATGTTAGTAATTTTATTAAGTCAAATTTTATAATTTTGTATTTCTCTTAGAGCTTAGGAGAAAGTCCATCTGTAGAGCAACTATTAGATTCTGGTGGCATATGTGCAATATGTCATGAAGAATATAATTCACCTATCAGGCTGAATTGTCAACATATCTTCTGTGAAGTTTGTGTATTAACATGGCTAACTAGGGGAAGATCATGTCCATTATGTCGTGCACCAATTGCAGACGATGCAATTTACCATGATGGTCATACAACATTGTTTGTTCAATTGTATTAAATAGTAAATTGTTATATATATATATACGTATATATATATGTGTATATATATATGTATATATATGTATATATATGTATATATATATGTATATATATGTATATATATATGTATATATATATGTATATATATATGTATATATATGTATATATATATGTGTATATATATATATATATATTGCAAGATAAGATTTATTAAGTCTTTTCTGAAAAAGGTACAGACAAAATGATCGATTTATTTTTTTATCAATTGAATTCTTGCATGTTTTAAAAAATATATATTTTACAAGCATCATAGTTTAACTATACATTTTTATTATTATATTAATTATTATCATGTAAAATATTATGCACATAAAATTCATAGTAATAAGTTCTTAAAAAATTTATACTACAAATTATTAGTAATTATAACAATAAATACATAAGATGTTTTGAAATAATACGTGCTTTAAGAATATATAAATGTGCCTATTTTAATACGATAATTTCATTAATTTAATTCTAATAATAGTCTTATGTTTATAAATTCAAAATATCATTGATTGATGATCAAAATTAAACACCATCTAGTAGTAAAATATAAGAACTACGTTAAATCTATATAAGTGGCTGCCGATGTCATTGATGAGATTTTATTCAGATGAAAAAATATTCTTAATACTCTGACCAATATATAATTTTTCTTTATTAAAGTATACTGCAAACAAAGTAATTATTTTATAACTTTATTATGAACTACAAGATTTGTCCAAACATTATGTTTTAAAATATCTTAGATCGTAAGCTGTTTCTGAGACATTACAAAACAGATATAATAATAGAGATTTAATAATACAGGATACTGATGTTCACAATAACTTAATAATTATTAAAAAAGCGTAACTTTTATTATATATAAAAATAATTCACAAAATGTTTCCCTTTAATCGTGCTTGAAAGTAATCTCCATCTCCTTTGGTTGCTTGTCTATTTATTTCCTTATGACGTTCTCGGCTAACAATTTCTTCTATTATCTCGCCATCTCCCTTAATTAATCTAAAAAATGATTATTATAATGATATTATGAAAAAGGCATATATGTATATTGTCATGTATATATGTGATTACCTATATCTTCCTGTTTCCTCATCATATACCCTACGTATTAAACTTTGTTTTTTTTCCCATTCTTCTTTTGTAATAGGAGCCATTAATTTGGCTCTCTCTGACATTTCTGGTGAAATTTCTGTAACAGTATCCTTGGATTTATCAGAAGTACGTTTTTTATTTTCAGTAGCCAATGACTTTTTCAACTTCTTCTTTGGATTTTTCTTTAACTTCCTCTTCTTTCTATGCTTTTTTACATTTTTTTTAACTCTTTTAGCCTTCTTCTTCTGTTTTTTACGTTTTCTTTCATCTTCAGAAGAATCAGAACTGCTGGTACTACTGGTGCTGCTGCTACTACTGCTGCTACTACTAGTACTGCTACTACTGCTACTGCCACTGCTAGTACTACTTGTACTGGAAGAACTTGAAGAAGAGGAAGATCTTCTTTTTCTCTTTTTTTGAGTACGATGATCAGGCTTTCCCTCCAAACAATCAGCTTTTCTTTTCTCTCTAGTTTTTGTATGGGAAGGATCTACATTGGTTTTTATATTCTGTATTTTATCTATTTTTAAAGAACATTTCTCTTGTTTGGAACTGCTGTCTCTAGAATTGCTTTCTCTCACAAATTGATTAGATGCATCCTTGTTTGAATTTCTTTGATAATCAATGTTTTGATCTTGATTATTTCGTGATCTATTGTAATTAGGTACTCTATTATTATAATGTGTATAATAATTTCTCCCCTCATTATTGCGCCTGTAGTATTGATAATTATTATACGGTATTCTTCTATTTCTATTATAAAATCTTCCATATTTATATGATCCTCTCATACTTGTATTACCACGTTCTCTGAAATTATGTGGGAGCACATTGTAATTTCTTGAACCTTTATAATTGTTCACAGTCCTGTCCATTCTTTGTGGTATAATTCCATTCTTATATTCTTTAAATGTACGATCATCATCTTTTTTCTTTTTCCTAGTTTTCTGCAATTTAACATCATGGCTGGAAGTACTGGAAGAACTGGAACTACTCGAGCTACTTCTATGTCTTGACTTTTTTCTCTTATCCTTACTGCATGCACTTCTTCTCTTTAATTTGCTGTCAGATCCATCGCTATGGGTAGATTGCGTCTGTTCTTTCATTCTATGTCGTTTGCTTCTAGAGCTTCTCTCGCACTTAGTTTCGTTACTTTCTCTGCCACTCATAATCAATTTGTAGAGATGAATATATAAATATCTAATTCCTTACAAATCATATATTCCTGTTTATAATCGTTATAATATATTTCTTATAATATTATTACAAAAAATTATATTTATCCTGCCTCCATATTTATATTTATTTAGTTATCTACGAAATTTTTACAAACTATCTTTATCATGTTATATCGTATAAGTAATTGTTTAATGAATATATAATGTTATATACACAATTGAGATATATATTATAACGTAATATTCAGTTAATTATAATTAATTTTTAATCACACTCTCACCCTTTATTCGTACCGATCGTTAACCTCTCTTACTAATCGCCAAAGTTAATTACTCCATAGAATAAGACTTTTACGTAAAATGAGGCAGTCGAATGATTGGATTATTTAACTATTTCTATATGGAGGCAACATGAAAAGTTCAACCGACCTCATCGTTCTCAATTTCGAAAACTGAAGCGAGATTAAAGGCAACCCCTCATGTTTGTGTATACTGATAGTAGACCATCTATATTTTACTATAACAGAGGTTTTCATAAAAAGAAATTATGTTGCGCAATGGTAATGTTAATCGTTAAGAAAAAAAATTCTTTTTATTCTTATTTTTATTCTAATATATATTTGAATACTTCTTAATGCTAGAAAAAAAAAACCTTTAACATAAAATGTTTAAAAAAGAAAAAAATAAAAAATAAAAATCTGTCAACTCTTTCAAGTTAAACAATCATTTGTTTACAATTTTTTTTTTTTAATTACTACATTGATTAATATCAAAAATGTATGGACTCTAAATTTGAAGGTTAATTTGAAAATTATATTTCGTAAATATTACGCAAAAAAATTAAAAATGAATGAAAGTGTATCAACATATAAAAAAGTGTAATTCTCAATAGAAATGGCGTCAGTAGCGCCAAGGTGTTTCTGTAAGGACAAAGTCAGTTTGTTTTCTGTAATAGTAATTATTATTATTTAAGAAAATAATATAATATAATTATCAATGCAATATTTATATATGAATGTTTGTTATATATCTCCTAAAAAGGAGATAATTAATTCTACATTGAAAAGTTCATATAATATATAGAAAGAGAAATTTATCGATCTCGATACAGCATCGTCTCTTGAATTACAAAAAATCGTTGAAGCACTTAGTTTTCCTGGAAAAGGTTTATTAGCTAGTGACGAATCGCCTACGAATTTAAATGATCAATTTGAAGAATTTGGAATAGAAAATACAGAAAATTTTCGACGAGATTACCGACAGATGTTATTCTCTGCTAATAAGGTAAATCAATCGACAAACTAATATTTGATTTAGTATTAAAAATATGAAAATCTTATCGATAAAAACAATTCTTACGAGTCTAGTATGAATTAATGAAATACATAAGCGGTGTTATATTGCATAATGAGACACTTTATCAAAAAACAACCGATGGCATCAGTTTTGCTGAGTTTCTTCAACAGAGGAACATCGTGCCAGGTATAAAAGTTGATAAAGGTTTGATTAATCTTTCTGGTACCAAAAATGAGTCAACGACAGAAGGCTTGGACGATTTAAAGGAAAGATGTATGCAATACAAACGAGAAGGTTGTCACTTTACCAAGTGGAGATGTGTTTATTCAATTTCAGAAACGAAACCGAGTCAATTGCTTATGTCGGTAAATGCGAGCACGCTTGCAAGGTGAACCACCATTATGTCGAATACATATATAATCTATATATAGATTTACATATAAAAAATTTTTTTATTGGATTAGGTATGCGACTATATGTCAAAGTGCTCGTTTGGTACCGATTGTGGAACCAGAGATATTATCTGTCGGAGAACATAGTATAGAAAAAGCTTTACAAATTCACGAAGAGGTACTGTCTATTGTATTTAGAGCTTTAAACGAACACAGAGTTTATCTAGAGGGTATGATCCTGAAACTCGCAATGGTATTGCCGGGTGTTAAAGATACAAACTACACGTCGCAAGTGAGTAGATGCTTATAAATAAAATGGTACCATTTTTCAATTATTAACTGATAGATTTTAAATATATGCTCATTTATTTTTAGATCGTAGCCGATTATACTTTGAAAGCGTTACAAAGGACGGTGCCTCCGGCCGTACCAACGATTTTATTTTTAAGCGGTGGACAGACCGACGAAGATCCGATATTAAATTTGAACGCAATAAATACGTCAGAAGGGAAAAAACCATGGACTTTGAGTTTCTGTTATGGTCGCTACTTACAAGTACGTATCATAATATAAAATCTTTTTTAGAATGTTATGATAATATTTCGCTATTTAATTTAATAAAAAAGAACGAAGCTATGAAAATTTGGAAAGGAAAAGTAGCGAATGTAGAAGCAGCTCAGTCAGTATTTCTGAAGAAAGCTAAATTATGCTCCGAGGCATCACTTGGAAAAGTCAACGTACAAGACCAATGCCAATAAAATAATCAATGAAAAAATATTTAATATTTACGGATAATCAAAGATGATTATATTGACGAAAATATATATTGACGAAATTGCAAGACCAATTAAATTAAACGATTGGATGAGTGCAATTTTATCACTTTATTTTTTCAACAAAAATGTATTATATTTATCTATTAAACAAGAAAAACAGTGAACGGTTATCGGAATGACCTGCCTTTTGATATGAAATCTGGAATCATTAATGTAAAAAAGTAGAATAAATATATTTCGTGTTTAGGTTCTCAATACGAACGTGCGTTATTTTATTCGTTGAAATCTACAAGGATATGCGAAAGATCTTGCATAAGAGTACATTAGCTTTAACAGTGAAAAAAATGTATAAAACTTCAAGCTAGAATGTCGAAAGAAGGTGCCCTTGGTTGACCTCTAAAGTGAAGGTTCTCAATAAAACATAACTGCGTACGTGCTTGATTCGTCGAATGTATGCTACGTGCCAGCTGAGTCGTATTACACATAACAGACTACATATTACTCTTTTACTGGTCAATATGTCATCATTTTCACGGAATTCCACCAATGAACGCTTGCTAGCTGTTCCCTCGAATGAAACCAATTACCACGTGGTGCAATTCAGTGACGTAGCAATCTGGAATTTCAAAAAAATCTCGTCATAATTTTTCATTAAAAAAAAACAACAAATTCATATAAAAAATATATAAGGTATATTTATTTTAAACATTTATTTCATATATATATTTTTCAAAAAATACAGTTCCGCATACTACTATTATGATCTTGTATTGGTGTCTCTTTTTTTAAACAAAGATTTCAGATTGAGCACCACGAAACATCGTGCATTACCGCGCATGCGCTAGTAGCGCTCATGTAGAGACTTTGAAATCGCCGTGCACCTTTGCTCTCCTCAGTTGTTCTCGAATCCCCGGTTGAGAAGGTTATAACGATAACGTGCGTGTACGTTTCCAATATCAATAGTCGAATCCATCTCAATAATAGGTAAGTCAAATTTACATTTTAATTGTTGAATGAACGTTTATCACAAATCAATATCCACGATTTAAAGTGAGAGTAAATGACAATTGTGAAATTCGTTTGTGGAAAGAAAAAAAAATGATGGCTAACATTGAGGATATTACGAAGATTTGACCTTGACTGACATTCGGCCGACACCCAATTTTTTTGTATTCTTTAACTTTAATAATAATATCAACGTTAATGAGAATATCTTTTTGCTTTCTAACATCGATCCAACGTTAATTTTTCAAATTTTTTTTCTCCTATATAAATAAATATCGTAGTGTCAAAACTTTTTGGATCGTATATTTTTATAGAAATAATCATATAACATGCATTATTATCAGGACCATATAATAATTATACAATTATTATCTTTTGTAATATTGTCATGTGAAAACTAACCTATATTCGAGACGAAATAAGTAAAAAGATAAATCGAGAATCTTTACTCTTCGGACAATCGATCTTAAAGGTTAAAATAATAAGAAATACGTAGTAAGTCGATCTATAGTAGTTCTTAGAATGGTACAATATATATGTATCAACCTTTATTTAAATGCAATAAATGAAAGTTGGCGAATAATGAAACTTGGCCAAAAAGGAAAACGTTGAGTGATGCCAATTTCCTGTTCGATATAGTATCAATTTATTTTATAGATATTATCATTCTGTAATCATATTATAAAAGTAATAAACAATTGTTGCAATAGGATTTAAGCTAGGATTGATTTATGCAAGTGGAAACACGTTTAACTTACATTTGACATATGACTCATGAATGTGTGATCTTTAATATTCTTACGATTTAAGTCTTTTATTATCTCGTTTATATACATAAAATATGAAAAATGTACTAATGTTTAGTAATACATCTAATATATTCCTTTTATGGTTATTGAGAATAATTGTTTTGATTTATATTAATAGATTTTGATCAGTATCAAGTGGATCAAATTCCGTTCATGTTCATGGTTAATAAGTTTATTCATTATTTTAAATAGATATCAAGGAAGTTTTATTAATTATTTCACATTTTTAAATTTCGATACGTTATTATTTAAATACAAAATAAATATATAAATAATAACGTAAGCAATAAATGCTATCGTATATTACAATGAATTAAGAATCATAATTTCAATGTGTTCAGGTATTGATGATATAATATAAATAATGAGATGTATGTATAAAGCTATCGAATAGATTTATATTAAACAACCTAAAGAGGTCACTTAACACGCGCATGAAATAATGATTCCACGTGTGTTGCATTTGAGACCCATCAAAGGTTCACATGCATTTCGAATTTCGTCATTTGAAACATTGTCGAAACAACTGTCGTACGTGTTAATATAGGCAACCTAGGTATTTATTTCGATCGTATTATTTTTATCTTTCATTCAGTTTATTTTTTTCTGTTTTTAATAATCTTACGTTCCGTTAGTCAATTTTGTTTATTTCTTTTTTTTATACCAATATCTACACTAGATTTTATTTGTTTGTTTTTATACTATATATATATACTAGTATTTACATAAATCAGGATCAACTACGAAACAATATTGATAAGATATAATAAATATGTTGTTTTCTGCATTGTCGACTTTTCTGTTGATTATTTGATTAACGAATAGAGGGCAGTGAAATGTTTTATTCTGTATATTTCCAACTATGTTGTCTCCAACTTACAATCCCACTTTTATCTACAATCCAAATAATTTTTCTTTTCGAGCATATCTAATTGATTATGATAAATATAAAAATATGATAATATTAATTATCATTTTTAATATGGATTATTTGGGAGAGACATTGATCTTTTTTTTCGATTATGTTATCATGACCCTGAACTTTATTCACCGAGTAGCTTATCTAAAATGAATACAAAACATATTATTGAACAATTTCGACTTCAAAAATTAATCAATTTCGTATTATAACGTAAATAAGACACGCTGTTATTTTATTATAGATGCAATTAAACATTTTAATTATTTTTTTAAATTTCGTGGATCTTTTATTGATTACGAATGTTCTTGTTGTGCAAGTGTCGGCAATTTCCAACTTTCCCAGCTGTCGGCAATACTCAGCAATATCGTGTTATCGAACACGAACTATACATTCTTTTGTACATGAAACATATGGATAATAAATAATAAAATATCGAATAACAAAATCACGTTTTAGATTATATGGTTTTGCTTAAATTCGAAAAATTTAGATTATTATCTAACACAACGCACATACCAACGTATGTCGAATTATATATATATATATTTTCGTACAAAATTTATTTATAGACTTCACAGAATTTCTCTTCGAGTTCAGTGTGATCTTCGGTAACATATTATATTCTTTTTGAATATATGTATGTGTTTGTTCAAACGATTATGAAATTAGTTTAGAAACTGACAGTACGCCTGTGCAGTGAAATAAAATAGGCGTAAGATGTTTTTCGTTTTATCGAGCGACATACCAAAATCGTTAACTTACTAATACTATTTTTACAAAAATTTCTTCGTAAAATAATCCCCTTCCCCTCTTAACAAAACATGTGATATCCGTAATTTATTGTTATTACAGACAACAGCTGTGAATTTGTTTAGGTTCAAACGTAAAAGTAAAAAACCGTTATTTAATAATTTTCGTTTTTTATCATTGAAATTGCATATCTCTTGTGAGAGCAGTTAACCAATGACAAACAGGTTTATCTTGTTGCGCCACAATGAAGTAGAGTGTCGAAATTTACATAAGATTACGTATACCGTGCACCAATTATCTACAAATGTCGATTTTATACCTACGAAAATTATTCTGAATAAATTTTGTATAGGTATTATTTTCATTTTTAGAATATATGTATTTCGAATTGTGTATATGTGTATCTTGAAATTATAAAGTTCTGTACTTCATAAGATATTTATCGATCATAACCAATGAAAAAGACAAAACGATGACCAATGATCCTTACTACCAACATCCTAAAAAATATAAATTTATATATCTCTTATCTAAACTCACAGAGAGTAATATTCTAACATAACTCTTACTTAATTTATAAGAAAGATAACGCCCGTTAAAAAATACGTTTCCCATAGGAGAATATATACTTTCCCCATCTATTTCATTAGTCCGCAAGAACTTTGCAACAGCAAGTAAGCAGGGAGACAGGTATCCTCGGGTCATGAATTCAGAACACGCAGGGGGAATTATATACCCCACTACCATTTTATAATTCGCGCATGCGCAAGTAAAGAACGTCTGCGCGTGCTGCATTGCGGTTTGTAGAATGCCAACCACCCCCTTTCTCTTTCTATCATATACATATAAACATACATACAAGGATAGAGAGACGCACATTTGCACATTTTCCGTCGATCCTTTATGAAAGCTGCCTTGCGGTGGATTCACCGCACTGCAGCCAGGTTTGCCAGCGTAACGACGCCATTACCCCCATCGACACGTTCCTCTCCCACCCCCATCAAGCAATCACGAATAGGGGGTGCGAGTGAAGTCGGAGCCCCGCGAACGGTCAGTCGGTGACTCGCGCTCGTTGCAAACGCGAGTGCGTGATTATCCGTCTTCTTTTCCCTTTCATTCTTCCTAATCCCTTCGTCTCTTTTTTTCTTTCTATCTATCTCTACCTTTTCCTCTTTCTAATACGAATCTTTCCATCTGTTCTATTTTTCTCCATTTAATTTAATTTTTTCTTTTTTTCTCATCGAGTCATTGAGAGAAGGGATGTAGTCGTCACATTAATTATAGGACGACCCTCGGTCGGCCCGTACGGGCCGACCGATCGCGTCCCTTTCTATTCTTTTCTTTCTTTTCTTTTCAACTATTCTTTACCCTTTCTCATTCTAATCTTCACTTTCCTATGCGATTATTATTTCGTGAATTATTCAGTTTTTTCTTTTTTCTTTTTTTTATTTTTTTATTTTTTTAATGAAATGACGTGGAACGAGCATTCTATATTACGAAGAGTAACATCAACGAGAATTTTTTCTATTAATGTGACATGATATTTATTATTTATCGCTCTAATCTTTCATTATAATTATAATTACTGATGTTATTATCTGTGATTTTAATTATCTTTATTATCGTTGGTCTTTATATCTTTCTCTCTCCTCCTCCATTTATATGCAAATATATAAATATATATATATCTGTATATATATATATATATCTTTGAGATTGTTACTAACACAATTATTATCGTTAATTCTATTCTTATTATTAATACCATCGGTATTCGTGATGTATGCGAATGTGTATACGTGCGCGCGCGTCACCCCGTCGACGAGGACGACGCCGCAAGGGCTTATTTACGGTCATTGGACCTAGACCGAACATAATGACGATGGAACATGAAGGTAAGGGGTGACGAGTCTGCTATCATATTTAGAAGAATCTCCCGCACGTTCTTATCCAGTTAATTATAATATCTCGGATCGATATTTTTTGTAGACCGTATGATTTATATATAGTCGATTTATTTACTCGATAACCCTTTCTTTTTTTCTTTATACAATCATTATTTTAATGAACAATCAAATATTAATCCTACTTGTTCTTTTTTTTTCTTTTTACAACGATCGATTGTCATATTGTTTTTGTATTCGTTGCACATAAGCTCGCAAAGATCTACTTGGATCAAAATTATTTTTAATTTTTATTTCTCAAGCTAAGCTCGTTCTTTGTAGTTTTACTACATGCTTCGGTAACTAATCGTATAGGTTTAGCGTCGACTAATGATAATTCCCTCTTTGTGGCGCAATTTTATAATTTGATTAACTAACTATAGGAATATGATAATCATAGGATACTTAATAATATCACATTGGGAAGACTATATTTATACATATGTAGATACACGTACATTATTTAGATAGATGTAATTACTATTTATAAGGTGATATTATGATTTATTTAATGATTGTGAAATAAAATTATTTTAAATAGAAAAATTATTATATTATCTATCGTATCATTTATATAATTTATATAAGGATAATAAAATTGCTTCCCTCGAAGCTATCTACCGATTTCTAATTGTAGCAAAAGCCCGTACAGCTCGTTGCTTTTTTAATCGTCTTTTCTTTTGATATCGTTTTATTGATAAGCTCTTCAGTACGTCACTTTCAGCTATGACGTCACACGCAGATTGCGTGAATAGGAATTGTAGGTAAACGTCTTTGAATGTCTTTGAATGAAACGTGTATTTTCTTTTTTTTTCCATCTTAAAATACCTATGCCGCGCTATCTCTGACAAAAGCAACATTTTGGTTCAATAATAATTACCAAGTTTCAAACTTTCTCTCTCCCGAATTCTCAAGAACTTACTTAATAAGTTCTATTGTACACGTTTCTAGTAAGTCTGACATTATCTTTCTATGATAATAACTTTCAACGACATTGTTCAACCACTCGAATCGGATAGTTCATTTCAAGTTTGTCAAGTTATTTAAATGTAAATGAAACATAGGTTTTATTAACTAAGAATATACAGGGTGTTCTATAAGGTTTGATCCATAATTCAGGAAGGTATCGAGAGGATCCCATAGAACTACTTTTTAATAGAAACCAATGACCTCCGCGACCAATGCTATACAGGGTCTTGAAGTTGGTCGTCCGACAACTTGTCATACAAGACATAAAACGATTTACTTGATTTTTAGATAGGCTTAAATGCGATGAATAATCTAACACGATTAATTTTTTATCATTTGTTTTAAGTATTAGCATAACTCGTATATTTATGAAGAGAAGGAAATGAACAAGTTAAATAAGTTGTTTTATGGGATCCAGTCAATACGCTCTTGAAGTATAGGTTACATCTTTTGGGACACTGTATATGTTTACGAGTTGTTGGATCGATGAAAAAAATTTCAAATGAAAATATAATGTGTGTGTGTGTGTATGTGTATGAGGACAATATAATTATGCATCGTTAAGGACTTCCATTAGCAACCGATATTAACAACTATTCAAAAAACTTTTTAGTGTGTAATAACTTACAAACGAAACAACAGCCCTTTCATTTTCTCCTTCATTATCTATTCTGTTTTTTTTTTAATCTAGTAAATTACATAAAAAATAATTAACTTCCATTCGTAGAAAATGGTAGCCGAAAAGTACGACAAGCTCGAGCCCGAGCTGAAGGAAGAATTGAAAAGACTTGCCGAACAGATTGTTGCTCCTGGAAAAGGAATTCTCGCTGCTGACGAATCTACGGCCACGATCGGTAAACGTCTGAAGGATATCAATGTTGAGAACAACGAGGACAATCGAAGAGCATACAGACAATTACTTTTCACCGCGGCAAAGGTACGCCATTATATTTCAAAAGATTTAAGTTGTTATTTACATTTTCTTCTTTATCAATGATATTTATTAAGGAGCGAGTCAATGAACGAATAATACGTATAATAATTCTTGTCACGTAGTTACAATTTTAAATTATTTATTTACTTGTTATATTCACAATCGATGCTAAACGTCCACGTTCATTTGTAGTTTACATACGCGTCCATTGTCCATCATCGATCAGTATCGATTGACGTTTTAATTAATTTCAACGATTACTCGGACAAGTCAGAGGAACAAGAAATTAAATTTAGAATATCGTTTTAGAGTTTCACACAGTCAAGTTTTAAGTGCTTAATTAACTTTTTACATCTTTCTTCAATATTAAAAATCGTTATTTTAATAGGACGTGATTGGACAACATATCTCCGGTGTGATTCTGTTCCACGAGACTTTATACCAGAAGGCTGACGACGGTACACCATTCGTCGAGCTCTTGAAACAACGTGGCATCCTTCCCGGTATCAAGGTCGACAAGGGTGTTGTACCACTCTTTGGTACCAATGATGAATGTACGACTCAGGGACTTGATGACCTCCAAGCACGTTGCATCCAGTACAAGAAGGATGGCTGTCATTTCGCCAAGTGGAGATGCGTTCTTAAGATCAAGAATGATACGCCTAGCAAGCTCGCCATCTTAGAAAATGCGAATGTTCTCGCTCGTTACGCTTCGATCTGTCAGAGTGCAAGAATCGTACCAATTGTCGAACCCGAAATCCTTCCTGACGGTGATCACGATCTTGCTCGTTGCCAACAGGTCACGGAAGAGGTTCTCTCTGCTGTTTACAAGGTTAGAAAAATATTTATCCATTCATATATATAAGAGTTAAATGGGAAAATGTCGCAATAAAACGTGTCAGCTGAATGATACAAGATCTTGCCAAATGATGCAACAGTCACTATTTTAAATTTTATTTCATACTGATACTTTAACGATTTAAAAGGATTAGTGAAGTTGCCGAATCTTTTCCAAATTTTGTTTGTTTTACTAGTATTATATTATTTAAATTATAACTTTTAGGCGTTAGCCGATCATCACGTCTATCTCGAGGGAACCCTCTTGAAACCAAACATGGTGACACCGGGTCAAAGTTGTCCAACGAAGGCAACACCTCAACAAATCGCAGGAGCGACTGTAACCGCGTTGCTGCGTACAGTTCCACCCGCAGTACCTGGTATCACCTTCTTGAGTGGTGGACAATCCGAAGAAGAAGCCTCCGTGAACTTGGACGCCATCAATAAGTTTCCAGTTAAAAAACCTTGGGCATTGACCTTCAGCTACGGTCGGGCTCTTCAAGCCTCCGTTCTTCGTGCCTGGGCTGGCAAAAATGATCAAGTGTCCGCGGGACAGAACGAACTTATCAAGAGGGCTAAGGTACCATTTTATGTATAACATTTTATCTTATGCTACTTTCTCTTTATAATACTTAATTTTTTATATGTAAAATTTTTCCAATCAATATGTATACTTACTTACTTTTTCTATATTTTAAATTAGCTTGTGTAATATGTTATGTTTCTTACTTTTTCTGTTATATTCTATTTTTTTACTTTTTCTATCTATGTCTAACGCAGCAAATTCTTTTATCTGTTGTTTGTTAGCTTTGTTTCTTCTTGGTATTTTATAGTTTCTAATAATATTACTAATTTTATTGTTTATTGTTAATACTACGATCACAACGTTTATCGTATTCAATGATACACCATTGATTTTTCTGTATAGTGGAATAGTGGCTAATTTTTTTTTGCATGTCCATGAATTGTGTGCTTATTTAGGCAAACGGTGCTGCTTGCCAAGGCAAATACGTTGCTGGCAGTATTTCTAGCAAAGCTGGTGACACTTCTCTATACATCAAATCGCATGTATATTAAAATTGTTTTTCCTTATTCTGTGTGAGGCTATATACTACTATAACAGTGAGTACATAACAATATAAAATTCATATTATAAATTTGGAATATAAAATTAACGTTTATATTCAAAAAATTATCAATTTCTTTGCCATTATTGAAAATATTATTTATTACGTATTTCATTAAAAAAAAAATACATGTTTTATCATTGTTTCTTAACAGGCCAACAGCGAATCGGCACTTGGAAAATACGCGGGAGGTGTCACAGGAGCTGCCGGCGATGCTGCGCTCTTTGTAGCAAATCACGCGTACTAGAAGAAATGTTCAGTTAATAATAGTTTAGAAATTCAGTTCATCTGTCGAATACGATCATCGTCGATCATTCTTTTGAGAAATAGCGTAAAAGAAAAGATCCATTTAACATTCTGAACAAAAAGGATAAAATAATAATAATAATAATAATAAAATAATAATAATAACAATAATAATAATAATAATAATAATAATAATAATAATAATAATAATAATAATAATAGTAACAATAATAATAACGAATCAGAGAAATAATAATAACAAATAAAGAAAGGGAAAAAATGGAAGGAGATCATCGTCGATGATCGTTGCGATCTTTTGCGATATTTTTCATGATGTTAACCTTCGATTTTACAAATTCACCGATAATTTCCTTCGCGATTAATAAAACTTCGTTTTTAATCGTCTTTTTACTCCATAAGTTTCATAGAAATAACCCTAAAAAGGTATATCATATGTATGAAACAAACGCGTAATTTCATCGCAGAGATTTTTCAAATGTGATTGCGCACAATAACGCTAAGCAAAAATAACGTTGAAAATATTATCGATCGTTCGTCAATAAAAAAAATAAAGAAATAAAAAAACAATGAATTTCTCTGTACACGATTTTCATTCTGAACTTCGAAGGCGAGGATGTTCGAGCAGAAGCGTAAAAATATTTTGAAGATTATTAAGAAAACCAAAGAAAAAGAATAGAAAAATATGTAACAAACATATGTGCAAATTTATGATGAAAAACAAAGTAAACAAATTCGACGATGACACGAATTACACATCCTACGCATAAACGCATACAAATACGAATACACATTATTATATACTGTATTCTGTAATACTATGATATATATATATATATATATATATATATATATATATATATATTTATATTTATATATATATATATATAAACAAACAAAAAGCTAAGAAGAAATATATATATCTATATATATATATATATATATATATATATATATATATATATATATATATTATATTATATTATCGTCAGTGTCGTTAAAATATTGTACGTGTGTAAAAAGAATTATAAACTAAACAAATCATATTAAATGTTGTTTGTTAGAAAATGAATCCGTATTACAGAAGCGTATTATTACGTTATTTACTTATAAAATTATATATAATCTATAGATATTTAAGAAATGTATTGAAAAACATACTTGTACGTCGATGTTATACTATTATCTAATGTTTTCATTGTAATTTAGGTCACCAAATACACTGTGGAGGGTACAAATGTTGTTCTTTACTTAAGTCAATTTATAACCTATGAAAATTTTACTCAAAAAATATTTAAAAATGTATTTCCTTAAATTAATTAACAGCGATAATCAAAACCTCAGAAATATATGTATGTGCACATGATAATATAAAAAAATAACGCATGCAACTATATGTATATGCATGTGTCAACTGTTTTATCATACTGTAAATGTGTAATGTATAAGTACTTAATTGTACCGGTAGATGGTAGCTTCGACAAAAATAATACAATCGATTTAAGTTACTCAATTAACCTCTATATAATTGAAATCTATACAACAGGTTATATACTAGGCCGGAGTTTATAAGCAGACATAATATCGTTTAATTAAAAAAGTATAGTGAATAAATTATTTAATGCTCAGCACGTGCAACGTGAAAATATAACTCGTAGAATCTTATCAATGAATATTTATAAGTCGTTGTATTCAATGGCACGAAGAAATTATGGAAGAAGCAGAAATAGTGGAGCACTTTTACGGAGTATATTTATTATATTGTTTGAATCCAAAGTACAAAGGCAGAACTTATATAGGTTATACCGTAGATCCACGACGTAGAATTAAACAACATAATGCCGGTAAAAAATATGGCGGTGCATGGAAAACTAGCAAAAGAGGTCCATGGTAATAGGATACAATATACATATGGATACAATATATCACTATTCCATGAAATAGTAATACATATATATACACATCACGTATAGTATATATATCGCATAAGATTAATTATTTATCATAAAAGATTTGCAAGATAGATTTTTTTTTAGGAGCATGGTGTTAATTATTCACGGCTTTCCTAACAATACTTCTGCATTGAGAGTAAGTAAATTATCCTACAAAATTGAAACAATTATTATTCATTATAATTTATATAAAGTATATAACAATCATAATAAAGCTATACATTTTTAGGCTTATAGTTTTACAATTTGAAAAGAAGAAAGATATTAATCTAAAAAGTCTCGAAAAAGAATAATTGATTTTTAAAATCACATAGGTACTTTTAGCCCACGTCATATATTTCAATTGTAATATATTTTTATTTATTACTTAGTTCGAATGGGCATGGCAGCATCCTCACGTAAGTCGACGTTTAAGGCATGTATCGAAAAAAAAATCAACCCAAAAAACTATAGAATTTTATTTGATGGTTCTCTCGGAAATGCTCAAAGTTGGACCCTGGTGTCGTTTACCTTTAACAATTCGTTGGTTGGACGATGACTTCGCTCAAACTTATTCCACTTCCTTTTCACCGCCTTTACATATGCCGATATGTTACGGGAAAGTCATACCGCGAAAGGTCACTAAGAGAAGTCCAAGAAAAGAGAAGGCCATCGAATCACAGATGGAAGAAGATTATATTCCTGTACTCCTTTGCTCAATTTGCGGATTAATAAGCGAAAAAAACGAATCCGTTACGTGTATAAAACCGAGTTGTCGACTGATAGCACATTTAATTTGTTTGGCACAACATTTTCGTAAGGACGACCAAATCTTACCGATCGAGGGTACATGTCCTTCCTGTAATACCAACGTCCTTTGGGGTGATTTGATAAGAAAGATGATAGGTTGTTATCAAGACTTGCAAAGTGATGTTGATAACTCTCCACTTATAATCAGTAGCGATGAAGATATCGTAGATTAATTATTAATTAATTGTTAGGTCTTTAGATTTACATTTTATGCAACATAATCATGTTTTATAACTATGTCATTTTATAACAGTAAATCATGTTTTAAGATTATAAGAAAAAAAATGGTCTACAACTGACTCTGAATCATTAACACTATTGAAAGATATAAATATATATTTTCTCGCATAGTGTGCTAGATATATGAAGTTATAACATAAATACTACTTTAATATGTAATTAGCACGCGCGTAGCGCGAACCGTTAGTACTTTTGTTATACGTGATCAAACGAAGCAGCACATATCGTGCTGTCCATAATTGTTAACTAACATTTAGGTCACAGCAATCATTTTTTTTGCCGTTGTCAAGTCTATGTTAATCACAAAATACATACACACACATAAACACACACACATATATATATATATACCACTGATTAATAAGAAACGGATAAGTGAATAAATAAATAATTAAATAAAGAATGTATTATACATATATCTTCAGTTAAAGTGCAGATCATTTCAAATTCATATAATCCTTAGAATAGATCAGGTATCAGATCATCGTCAGCATAATCGGAATAATCTTCCGCGCCAGGAGGCACAAATATTCCTCCAAGAACACCAGAAATATTTTCACCTAATCCCATCGACGTTGCTACACCAAAAACGAGTCTCATCACGAGCAATCTTATGAAATTTGCCGGATTGGTTTCTTTACTTTGTAACAACAATTGCTTCGTTTTCTTATTGTTAGATCGACATTCGATCTGAACGATCTGTAAATTATAATAAAAAACAATCAGACTTCTTACATGCATTATCAAATCTTTCTCAATATTGTTGAATGAAACAATGGTACGAATTGATCAACGTGGTTCATTGAACGATATTATCAATGAAACCTGACGTCATAACATAAACAACTTCACGATGAATCAACAAAATTGATTTGATAGAATTGAAAATGGAAATTTCAAAATGATATGCAATTTTACTTACGCTCAAACATATCAATATTAAAGCGGATAACGTCATTGTCACTTTCATTTTTTATATTTGGCTCACGTTAATCGCTTTCGATGATAAGAAATAGAAGAAGAAGAAAAAAAAGGAAGCACAACACGTTCCTGACGTAGTTCAAAGTCGATTCTCGTCCTTGACTCGAGAAGCACGTGCAATAGGAATACGTTATAAACGAAAGAACCGATTTCGCAGACCGAACGAATTATACTGAGTGGAATCGATTAATTTTTACAAATACAAACACGTTAAAAGAACGAAGATATGTCATTCGTAATGAATTCAAAGCTCCTCGGTAAAACGTTTCGATCAGGCACTCGTGAAGGGACACAAGAGAAATAAGCGTTAGCTTCGTGTTCGCAGAACCTAAGTTCTTCTTCTACAATAACGGTACATGACGAAAAAAGGCATCCAGGCCATCTCCTCTTTGTACGATACGCGTGTAAGGTTGGGGCACTAGTCACGAATCAGCAGAAGACTCGAACGATGGCAAAACGCAATCAAGAAAAGATCTTTAACCGGTTTTGTAAGAATGTTTTGAAAATAATTCTATGATAAAAAAAAAAAAGAAATAGTAAAAATAAGATATCGTTAATTAATTGATGATAAATGATTTTAAATATTTCAAAAAGTAATCGATCGAGTCTTTGAAATAATTTTGAAAATATATCGACGAAAGATTCGTTCATTGTTTTTCCTCTTTTCATGAATGAGAGAGATTACTCGATGATCTCATGCTGATTACAAATAACAATGTACCAGCCTTGTTTTGACCTGAATCGATGATAGTTTTTTACTGATCAGATTTGGACCACATAAATTCTCGAGCAAGATAAGACTAAACAGTAAATCTTGTAATCTATAGATCTTTCAACATGTCTTCTCTTTGCCTGAGACCCCATAGTACAAACTTGGTATAACAGTAGTCCCGGTTACCTAGAAAATCGTATGACCAATTAAGAATGAACGAACCTCGACGTACGTTCGATCAAGTAGACTAGTGAAAGAAGACAGCTATCAGGCTACCGGAATGGCTAAGCTCATCAACGATGGTTAAGTATCGTTTGTGAATGAATAAACGATGAGGGTGGCTCAATTGAATGGTAATTAAACGACGTGTCGAACTTCCGAGCGCGATTGGACGAACGATGACTGAGCCGGTCCACGAAAGAGCAACACAATGACAACAATGACGCACTTCGTTAGAACCGTCGAAGGACGAAGAGATAGATGTATCAACGTTCCCTTTGGATTTACCGGCCGATTCAAGCGTAAGGAGTACCCTGCCCCTTCCTATTAGGTTCGTAATGAAAGGCAGGATGCGACTGGGACCGGACGTGACGGTCCTAGAATACGCAAACAGTTCCAGAAAAGAAGGAAACACCTAGCTGTTCGACGATGATGACTCTACGTCCAGAATCGATCAAGATTGACACTCTTCTCGAAGAACCAAGTACAATTTATATTTTCTAGGAGATTTTAAATTCTACGATTTATTTTTGATCAAAGGAACACAGTTTCATTTAAAAAAAATTCAGAATCATCTGGCATCGTTGTTAGTACGTTTATAAAAAATTTATGTTTTGAAGAGATAATTTCTTTTTAGAGACGTCACAATTACGGTTTGGTGATTGTAAAAAAAGTATTACTATGTTAACCCATATGTTTGTCTAATCTCATACACTTGAGAAAATACATCTTGTGAATATTGATCCGATACCATTCGAACCAAATGCCATTCTACGTTGTAGAATTTTCGCGTGACTTCTCGCGTGAATCGTGAAAGGATTCTTCAACCGTAAGAGATCTATCATATCTTTCATCTTTCTTATGTAAAATGATATCGATTATTTTCAAGCTAAACATTCATATCAACATACAAGATAGAAAGTAAACTGTATTAAAAATAGCCAACAAAAGAGAAGATGATAATTGTTTTTTTTTTTTGATTGAAATATAAATATTAATGAACTTGTCTGCTAACATTTAACTTTCTATGAAAGTCTGGACACCCTGTATAGATTCGTATACATATGTGTAGGCGCAGTTGCAGTAAGTTAGATAATGTCCTGACAGGGTCTATGAACTCCGCAAGCGCATTTACTTCGTATTGCAGTGATGTGCGCGGCGGTACAACGTTTAAAGTATCGCAGTGATACTTATTGATCATGTTAGTTCATCTAATAATTGGATATTTTGTTAATATCGGGTTTACATAAAAATGTATTATTTCTATCAATTGTTAGGATAATTCATATAAATCCTACGTGAATTAAACAAAAGAATTTAATCAATTTCTAATCTTTCAAGTTGTTGATATTGTTCTTTAATATGTTCTGATATTTTCTTACAATGGAATTGTAGTGATCGTGTTTCTTAAAATAAAGAAAAAAAAAAAAAAAAAGAAAAGAAAAAAGCAAAAAGAAAATGAATGGTACATCGTGAAAAAAAGCAATAGCACCATTCGAGTATATTTAAATCGATTATTATTGACAGAATATCGATTTCTTGTAACGAAAGGAGCCGATAAGAGGGCTGGCAGCTCGGAAGAAACAATGACACGCGTTTCTATCCTTCTACGAGTCAGCACCAATCGGAGCATGTTCCTCTTTCTCGGCACTATCCTTCAAGAGAGAGGAAAAGAAGAAGGGGGAGAAAGGGAAAAGAGAGAGAGAGAGAGAGAGAAAGAGAGAAAGAGAAAAAGAGAGAGAAGACTCTTGGCGATCCTCTCGTCGGCAGTGCGTGCTGCACCCTCACGGATGACACTCCGTTCCGCGCATGCTCGAAGTTTCGAAGCTCGTTTTTCATTTCAAACGATCAAGACCCAAATTTATATATTTTTCGGTTTGATTTTTTCATCTTCGAACAATTTTATATATTATTCTAATACAAATGGATATGAGAAACAAGAGGGATGCGATTAAATAGTTGATAAAGAACATTGTTTTATAATTTTGAGAGTACCTAATCGAAATGTGAATTTTTTAACAATTTTGTGACGGTGCGAGAGAAGAGATTGGTGTACGAGTTTTTTTTTAATAGAAGAAGAAATCAAACGAATAATTGTTCGTCAAACAAGATAAATATTGAAGCAGACATATAATTGAAATTTGTCGAATATAGACAGGAATAATTCTCATTCGTGAAGATGAAGACAAACAATGGAAAAAGAATGGACGCGGAAACGGTGAAAGTCGGTTGTTTTCAGATGCTTCTTGTATTAATATTTTGCATAAATTACATCATCGTATCTATGAATCACGCCCTACCGGCTTTTCACAATTACACACCGAAATTTTATTGTCAGGTAATAATCATATTTTGTTTTATGTATATATTTTGAATTTTTTTTTCCCTGTTCAAACATGCTATTCGCCATACATAAAAAATGTTTACGCGGCTTGGCCCGAGTCGCGTCGAGTGTTATATAGAAACAGCTCGTACAACTCATTAGTCCTTGGCTTAGATCCAATTTTTCTATGAAAGTATGCTGATAAATGGTGAAAGGTGAAGCACCCTTTCACATTGCTAAGAATTGACTTATTAAAAATGTCATGTGACTATAATCAAGTGATATTTTTCTTAATAATAGTTTATTTATTTATTTACATCTATAACCAATACCAAATCTATAAACAATAGATCTATAAACAATACCAAATGTTATTCCAGCCAAGGAATACAACGAGCAGAATTTATGGCTGTCAAATCCAAAACAATTGGACGATCGAATCTAACTCGAGCACCGAACTCGAGATGAACTCCTGTTCTGGTGATTATCGATTCGCGATCGAACCCGGTGAGAATAGCGTTGTCACCGAGTGGATCTTGATATGTGAAAGAAAATATCTGACGTATCTAGCGTCGGCAATCTATTATCTTGGTGCTTTGATCGGTGCTTCGATTGCTGGAATTTTGGCTGATCGAATTGGAAGACTACCAGTTCAAGCGATTTGTCTTTACACACAAGGTACAATGGCTGTTGCATTGTACATCGTACAGGTAAAAAGATCAAATGAAAAAGAAAAACTATGATTCTTAATTGTCTAAATATTATGTATCGTTAGATGTTTTGATCGTTATTTATTTAATTCGATAACAGAACTATCCTACATTTTTGGCACTTCGTGGCCTTCAAGGTATCTTCGTACAAGGCTTACAAAACTCAACATACATATTATCTCTGGAATTGTTTCCCAGTAAATCGCGAACTCTCGTCGCTATGATCATGCAAATCGCTTGGGCTATCGGCTTGATACTCCTAGCGATACTAAGTTATTTTATACCAGACTGGAGAATTTTGCAGCTTGCTGTTTCTGTACCCACAGCGATAACAGTACTATACATCTGGTATATGGTCTAATCTATCTTAATAATCGTTTTTCAATCACAATGATTATAAAAATAATCTGAGACATACACATATATCTTTGAAAATTTATTTTGGAAATTACTTTAATATCACAATATTATTCTTCTTCTATTAAAATTTGTTTGATCGAAATTTTTATCGTGCAGGATAATACCCGAATCCCCGCGATGGCTACTAGCTAAAAATAAATTAACGGAAGCCGATATGGCGTTGGAAAGAATCGCGAAATATAACGGGTGTTGTATGAGAATACGCAGAGAGAAGGTTGTAGAATCTGAGCCTGTTGCTAAAGAAAATCCGACGCCGGTGAAACCGGAAAGGAAATCACGTGTTTCTAGTGTCGACTTAAAGAAACCGAAAACTCTTGAAGTGACGACGCAAGACGAGATGGTGAAATTGCTGAATACGCCGGATTCAAATCAGCAAAAAGAGCAATGTATGAGGATTAAAGAATCAAAGTATTTTTATTTTAATAGGCTAATTAATTTCAATATTATTAGATAAAAATAATTAATAAAATTTCTTTTCTTGATCCTACTTTAGCTAGAAGTTCTACTGTAATCATTCAAGCACCCACGAAACGACTTTCATTGACGAACGTCGAATTACGAAAGGAAAATGTAGAAAACGAAATAAAAAATCCACCATCCTGTTCGACCAATAATCGGAGATCTAAGAGAAGTTCTCAATCCGTCTACGATCAAAAAGTATCTTCGAAAATAGATGAGGAAATTGTTGTTCTTAGAAATCCAAGGAAGCTTCAAGAAGCAAATGATAATGAAATAAAAATGGCCGAAAATTTTGAACAAGAATCAAAAAGAATAAAAAGTAAAACTTTACAAAAATTATTCAAACGATCATTGACAAGAAAGTATAGTCTTGTGATGGTTCTTCAGTGGTATGATTTGAAAATATTATAAGATAATAAACGTTTAACTTTAGAAATTCGTTTTAAAACTATTATATTTGGATCGTTTTGTTTTCTCTTCAAGGTTTTCATCCTCCATAGCGTGTTATCTTTTAGCATCGCTTTTACCAAATTTTAACGTAAATAGACACGTGACTTTTGCTTTAGGAGGAGCCTTAGAAATTGCTACTTATACGTTTATATATTTCGTATTATCCAGATATGGAAGACGAATACCTCTGAGCATATATCAGTCTACAACTGGCGTAATATTAATCATATTATCTATTCTAATTATTTTGATAGATTCTTCTTTAGCCTGGAAAGGTGATTTACAAACAATTTATTAATTTAAATTTTAAGTTCAAATTAAAGTTTAAAGTCGATTGTTAAGTTCATTATTCGTTGTTAAAATTAATTGTTCACATTATGTTTTTTTTCCGCTTATAATAGATCTCGTGAAGACTATAGTATTGCTTTTCGGTAGAGTAAGTGTAATAAGCACTATTGCTATAACATATCTCTATGCTGTTGAACTATTTCCAACTGTTGTAAGAGGAACCTGTTTAGGTTTATGCACAGTTTTTGGTGAAATCGGTTCTTTAAGTATACCACAAGTGTTATCATCGGTACGTTAGTAATATCAGCAATTGAAATTATTTATTTTTCAATAATTAAGTAAATCAATAATTACAATTTTTTCTATTCAGGGAAAATATGTGACAATTAGCATACCATTAGCGATTGTTGGTGTGCTGTCTTTTATTTCTGGTATATTAGCAATCATTTTGCCAGAAACATTGAATAAGATTCTACCTGATACAATAGAAGATATTGAACAGATGTTTGTTAAAAGAAGGGATCAAAAAAACGATGAAGAAATTGTTAATGAGGATAAAAATATTGCAAAAGACGATCTTACGGAAAGAGAAATACTAAGAGAGAAACTTTTCTCGGAGGATTGGGTGGACGCCGGAAACGGTATATTAGTTAATTTTTCCGAAAATAAAAACGCGGATTGTTCGCGTGATTAGTTGAAATTTTCTTGAGTGAAAATGTGTGTTTTTTGTTTCTTTTTTCAATTTTAATCCAGGTTCACGACCACTCTGATGTAAATGTGTAAAATGTGCTTTCCACTAGAAATGTAAGTTATATTTGTCAGCGGCTTATGTATTTATTACCTTAGATTCGTAAGAACAATTTAGAAACTTTATCATTTATTGTATATACTTCTATTTTCATTTATAAAAATTCATTCTTGGAACTAACACTTCCAACATTAAATATCGTAATGAGACTGAAGAAGAAAAACTGATTTGCTATGTAAAATATTGTTTTGTACGTGGCATACACACAACATTTTTGAAATAAAGTTAAAATTATATTAATTGAAGTATGAAAATATATAATTGATCTATTAAATGCAGATAAGTATTTTATTCGAAATATATCACAGTTTGGCAACATGATTAACAAAACAGTCCATAAAAGAAATTACAATACAAAGAAATATTTCTAAGTCATATCTTCTAAAATGTATATTGTTAAGTTTTCTTATTACCAGACATGGCTCTCTTTCAAGGAACTTTAGGTTGTACAATACCATTATTTTGTGGATTGACATGTTGGGTCTGCTCCGCTGCAGTCTGTAAAAGTCTTGTCCTACGTCTGGTATAATGTTGCCAAAGTAAAATCTGTTGATCGTCTATAAACTTGGTGCATTGTGAGTTGACGACTTCTCTTCTAAAGTGTTCGTATTGCAATAAGTCTAAGAAGTACAAACACATAGGGTATCTCAAATATTTAGCATATTCTGGCTCTTTCCAATAGAGAAGATACTTGAGGTAGTTTATAAATGTAGTATCCTTAAAATAACCACGTTGTGCTAAAACTACAAAAGTTAAATAAGCATAAAAAAAAAGTTACACACAATCTTATTAGATATTTATAACCTATAAAAATATATCTCCAATATAAAATTTTACATACAGTTTAGATAATTTGGATTTGCAAGACACTGAACGAATTCCAGTTCAACTTGGAACCTTAGACGCTGTTGGTCGTCTGTTTCCGTACCTCCTTTAAAAAATATTATTGATTAAAAGTTTAAAATCGTTAACAAAGATTTTGTTATTAATAGTAAAACATACATACCGTTCATTCCGATAAAAGATGGTTTTCTGCCTTTCATGAGACCTGGAGGATCATCCAGACGGTTCATAGTACGTTAACCTTCCACGTTTCGATAATTTTTTATCGTGACATGAAAATATTAACCATCAAATAAGGAGAAAAGAAATACAAAAATTGTCACAAAGGAAGAACGCTCTTTATAAATCACTCCGGCGAACACAACTGTTAAGATTGTTCATCACCTTTCACTCGAACCATATGTGACTTCAGCGACAGATATGGACAAAATATGAATTACAAACATAAACGGGGAATACTGTATCCATCAAGCGACTGTATCGGTATATAAACTTGTTAGGTAAAGTAGGATAGGCTGCAAACTCATCAAACTTTTCAATCTCTCATATTTATATTTTTTTTTGTGTTTATCAATAGATAACATCAGCAATGATCCGCACAAAGTGATCTGCAGTAGATAACATACAACAATAGGCGGACGTATATAATTTATTTTAAATGCATGGTGAATAATAAATATAATTGATACATATAATAACTAATATATAAATTCACAACAAAAAACAAGATTTTAGCGAATATTTTGTAAAAAATAATAATTAGTGAATAATCTCTCTCATATATATATATATATATATATATATATATATATATATATATATATATATATATCAAATATTATTTTACATAAGTACATACGTATTTCTTCTTCTACTTCTTCTTCTTAACATTATTCTTATTATTAATTTATTGACAATTTTAATGAACAAGGTCTCATTTTAAACATGAAGATTTAAACGAAGATATAGTTTTTACGAATTTTGTAAAAACTATTTATTTTTATGCATAAACTATCGTCGAATAAACATCACTTTTCACGCAATATTTTCCAGAGAAAATAAAGCTTTTTCAAAAATTTGAAAAATCAGATCCTCCATAAAATCTTCATCTTTAAAATGAGATCTTGTTCATTAAAATCGGTTAAGAATTACACTTGTATTCATTATTATAAAATCGAGATGATGAACAATTATTAAGACATGTATCACTACTATGTGGAAGCCGATAAAATTAAAAGCGCAAGTGAAAAATAATAAAAGATAATAAAAATATTACATTTTTTCTAGTAATTGTATGTAAGAATACATTATTGTACACTTGACAATAATAAATGTAAATTCGTTTGAATAAGAAGAAAGATAGAAAATATTTTATTACGTTTGTATCATGGAATATATAATTTTTATGTCAAAAACGAAAAGATATGTATTTATGATTTAATACATGCTATGATTTAATCACATACTATCACGTATTTTTTTGTTTTAGTTACTGGTAGGTAGTTTTAAATAAAAACTGTTAGTCTCCTTGTTAGCAAGCTCATTCATGTTATAACATCGAATGGTTTAACTCGTCTGTAATAAAACCAACCACAATAGGTATATATCAAGTGTTATTTAAATTAGAGGAAACGTAAAAGAAGAGTGATTGTACTTTGTTCTTTGTTGTAGAACTTTCATTTATGAACAAAATGAGTATAATACCAAGAATCAGTTACGAGGAAGAATTGCGAAAAAATCCTGAATTAAAAGAATCGGATATAGAAATATTGAAAGAATGGTGCAAGAAGCAACCTCATTTACCAAAAATCACCGATAGTGAATTGACATTATTTTTACATAGCAATTATTATCGATTGGAGCCGACTAAAACTACGATAGATGCCTTCTATACCGTACGAACTCACGTTCCTGAATTCTTTTCTAATAGAGATCCGCTTGGATCAAAATCACTTCGACAAATAATGAAAGTTGTGTAAGTGATCATTGTAAAAAATTTCTTAGATAATTAATTCTTATATTTTAAAATAGTTGTAACGATTATTAATTAAATAAAATTCTTATATACAGTGCAGACATGCCATTGGAGATGACAACGAAAGAGGGTCATAAAATAGTTTTCGCTAAATTACTCGATACCGATCCTTCACATTATGTTTATAATGACGCTATAAAATATTTCAGCATGGTTATAGATTATTGGTTCTATACTGAAGGTACAGGAATAGGTCATGTAATTCTTATCGATATGGAAAGTGTAAGTTTTGGTCATGCAGGAAGATTGAGTCCTATGGGATTAAAAAAGTTCCTTTATTATTTACAAGAAGCTTTACCTGTTCGTCTGAAAGGTTTACATTTTATGAACACGACAGCAGTGATGGATATCATTCTAAATATGATGAAGCCTTTCATGAAAAAAGAATTGATGGATGTGGTATGATTATTATTGAGTAGATTTCTATATTTCTACTGATAGTAATAATTGTTTTTTGTTATTTTCTTAGTTGCATGTGCACACCACATTGGAAAGTGTCGCTAAGTTCATCCCATTAGAAGCATTACCGACTGATGTAGGCGGCAAAGCAGGTTTTACTAAGGATTTACACGAAAAATATATAAAAAAGATCGAAAATCATCGATCTTGGTTTCTGGAGGATGAAATTAGTGGTCGAGTAAATGAAGCCTTGCGACCTGGTAAAAGTAAAAATGTCACGGATCTCTTTGGAGTTGAAGGTAGCTTCAAGAAACTTGAAATAGATTAACATAATAAAATGAATATTTCGAATGTATAGTTTCGATTAATTCCAAACTAAGAATGATTTATAATATAATCGTTAAAATTTGTAATTATTTCAATAGAAATATTTTAAATAAGGGCGAATAAAGAAACAAATATATTATGCTCCTATATTTAATTCTTTCATAATTTCTTACATCTATGTTCAATAAAATTTAATCTCAAAAAATTGAATGTCATGCTTTTTATAAGACCAGAACTATATCTTACACTTAGTTTTAATTTGCTATAATTATCATAACAATCTAAATAGATGAAGTACATCTCTTACATTAATAATGAGATATTAGCAACATTTCCTTGAATCTTGATGCGTTATTAAACCAATTAAATCGACGATCTCGTAGAAATAATAAGATTCGATTAAAGAGAATTAATTTTAACAAATTATACTGAAATTTTTACTTAATATGCACTTACTTACTTAATACTTTGATCTTATTGTTACAAAATAAGTAAAAAATTGTGTAAGATAATGAACATCTATATATATATGAATACTAAACACTATTAAACCGGTTCCGGTCAAGGAGAAAATATTCTGATGATGTGGTATATAGTGATATTGTCAACAAAATATAACGACAACCTTACAAGCTCCGAAGTAGTTTGGACTCTAACCAGCGAACAAAAGGTGTCGGTCTGTGCTATCAGTATTAATCGAGTTTTATTAGATACATACGGACACATACGGAGACAAACATACGCACAAAGAAGATTTTTAATCATCATTTAAAATAAATCAATCCAACGGAAGTGAAAGTAAAAACAATGTTACCTACGAATACATATTCTTTAAAAGAAGAATTTAATAAAAATCCTAATCTCAAAGAATCAGATTTACAAATCATTCGTGAATGGCTCGATAAACAGCCACATTTACCAAAAATAGAAGATATTTATCTGATATTATTCCTTAATAGTAATTATTATCAGTTAGAACCAACTAAAACCACGATCGAAAACTTTTATACTATCAGAACTCACGTGCCTGAATTTTTTAGCAATAGAGACCCATTCTTGAAAGATATTCGTACACAATTCAGTGTCACGTAAGTTCAAATATAATTTTATACAATGTTTTAAATATTCAAAATCGATAAATAATTGTAACAAACAAAACTCAAGAGAGAGAAAGAGAGAGAGAACAACAAATTTAACATAATATATTTCTTTCATTCTACGAACAGATCTCACATCCCATTAAAGAAAATGACCAATGAAGGATATCAAATAATATTTGGAAATATAATGGATCCTGAACCATCTCATTATATCTTCTGTGAAAGCGTAAAATATTTTTTCATGGTAGCAGAATTGGCTTATATAAAGATAGGACCAACTAACGGACTAGTTTATATTGGCGATGTACAGAACTTATCGCTTGGTCACATAGGACGTATGAATCTTATGGGATTAAAAAAATTTCTATACTTCATACAAGAGGCAGCACCCATTCGTTTGAAGCAAATACATATAATAAATTCTACACCGGCAATGGAAGTTTTGCTAAATATGTGTAAGCCTTTTATGAAAAAAGAGTTATACGAGATGGTGAGTTTCAAAAAGAAAATTTTACCGTAGAATCATTAGCAGATTGATTCTTAAAGAGATTTGAGTCATTATAAATTTGGGGGGCTCCATTACAATAAATCAATTATATACAGTATATATTTTCTTGCTTCAATTGTTCATTGCATTGACGTGCATTCATCATGCAAATGACGAAGTTAGAAATAGATTGCACAAATTCGATTATAGTGGCAATATATACGCATATAGTAGCAATATATACGCGCGTGTGTATACATATAGATATAAAAATTACAGACCAGTCATCAGATATTAAATGATATTATATAATATAAATTTATATTATTGTGTGGGAACTCGAAGTGATTGTCTCTTTCGTTTGTGGATAATTCTGCCACTGCGTGGAGAGGTATTTTTCGAATTTAACAATCTAATTATCATTATAATTTCTATTTAGATACACTTTTCAAATTTAAAAAGTTTGGAAAAATTTTTACCCGTTGATGCACTTCCCAACGAGGTAGGTGGCAAAGGTGGTAACTTGAAAGATCTCGTTAACGAACAAACGAAATTGCTTGATGAAAATCGCGAGTGGTTTTTGGAAGATGAAATAACGAAACGAGTGAATGAATCATTACGAGTTGGAAAGTCTAAATTAAGCAATGACATTTTCGGCGTTGAAGGAAGCTTCAAGAAACTTGATATCGATTAAATGAAATCATTAATTATACAAAAAAAATAATGAATATGTATATTTTATTGTCGATCGATTTTTCATTCTAATGAGCTATAATAATAGGTTTCTTTTCTTCATTATTTATGGATTGAATATAAATTTATTATCATGTTTTCGTATGGTAATGATATATCAATAAAATTCTTTATCTTTTAAAGTTATATGAATTATGAAAATGTATCCAGATTTTTAATATTTTTTCCCATTTAATTATAAATTTTCCAATCGTCGTAAATATATAAATATATTAAAATATTTATGTATTAACAATTCATAAAAAGAAAGTCATCATATGAAATAAAATTATTTGTGGAGTTTCTTACTTATTAATCCACTGTTACATCACAGTACTTCGATGATATACCTATTTCTAGTAATCTCTAACACGCAATAACATAATTACAGGATAGAAAGAGATTCCGAGTTATAATTTTTTTTCACTTTGTTGCAATACACACCAAAATCGATTAATAATAAATCGAAAAGAAAAAAAATATATTTACGTTAAATATTAAAGCATGTTATTTATATCAAATTGTTCCTGAAACTAAATCATAGAAAAGAATTTGAGAAAACGATATATATACTCATATTTAAATATTAGACGAGATGTGTTCTCTGTTATTAATTAATAATCTCACAATTATCTTTGGTTTCTTTCTGTTTCTTGTCCATGAAAACCGGTGAAAAGAAAAGACATCGAGAACAATGGATTCATAATAATACATTTTCTCATCTGGCCTATCGAAGTTTTACCATACATTGAAAAATGTCTTCAAATCATTTGCTAATTCGCCTGATCATGAATTCATATATATAGACTAAAGTCAAAGTGTCATGCAATTGTCGATCATACGTTACTCGCTCGTCATTGCTCGAAGACAGTAACTGCGCTTGAATTCTTTAGTCTAATTTGTGTTCGTCAAGAGGCCAGAGCAAAGCTTTAACAAACAAATTTTTTCTGCAGTCTTTACGTTTGAACGACAAGTTAAAAAGAAAAAAAATAATCATTTCCAAAGATCCTTTGTGTTTCTTTTGAATTCGTAAGAACGAAAAAAAATATAAAAAAATAAAAAAAGATAATATAAAACAAAACGAAGAAGATTAATCCAAAATTGAAGTATAATAAAGACGTGTTAGAATATGACGCTACAAGGTGGAATCTCATTTGAGGAGGAATTAAAGAAAAATCCGGAATTGAAGGAAGACGATGTACGAGCGTTGAAAGAGTGGTGTCAAAAACAACCCCATTTACCAAAAATATCTGACAGCGAGATAGCTCTTTTTCTACACAGTAATTATTATCGTATGGAACCAACGAAAAATACCATCGACACTTATTACACAATACGAACTCACGTGCCAGAGTTCTTTTCTAATAGAGATCCTATCAGTTCTAAGGACCTTCGTAAAGCGTTTCAAACGGTGTAAGTGTCTTTTATTTTGTGCATTTATAAAGCTCAATAATTAATCTCAATCTGATAAAGTTTAATTTTTATATTTAGATCGAATCTGGTCTTGGATAAGACTACCAATGATGGTTACAAAATCATTTATGGTAGATTGATAGACATCGAACCGTCGCATTATGTTTATAACGATGGTATGAAGTACCTTAACATGGTAATTGATCTCTGGCTTCACGAAGAGGGTACATCCAAAGGTCATGTGATCCTATTTGATACAAAGAATGTTGCGTTCGGTCATGTAGGTCGTTTAAATCCTATGGGATTAAAGAAATTCCTTTACTATTTGCAAGAAGCTTTACCCGTACGTCTTAAAGGTTTCCATTTTATGAACACCTCGCCGGTTATGGATGTTATTCTTAACATGATGAAGCCTTTCATGAAAAAAGAATTGATGGACATGGTAAGAATAAAAGAGAGAGAGAGAGAGAGAGAGAGAGAGAGAGAGAGAGAGAGAGAGAGTCAGATTAATCTATAATCTTTTCTAATTTTCTTCCATATTCTTTTTATATATCTATTTACAGTTTCACATGCATTCAACCATGGAAACTTTAGCTAAGTTTATACCCTTGGAAATACTTCCAAACGAATCGGGTGGCCAAGCAGGCCCTTTGAAAGACTTGAATGATGCTCAAATTAAAAAATTAGATGACAATCGTGCTTGGTTTCAAGAAGAGGAAAGAATTTGTCGCGTTAACGAATCTCTACGTCCTGGCAAAGGAAAAACAGCAACTGATTTATTTGGTGTCGAGGGAAGCTTCAAAAAGCTCGAAATCGATTGAACAATAATTTTCATTAACCATTCATACGTTTTAACAAATGTAATTTGAGAAAGAGAAAGAAAAATAAATAAATTTTGTTATTAGTAATATAGTACTTTCTATATATATATATATATATATATACATATATATGCATATTATAATAATTATTAAATGTAATTTTATCAAGAAAAAAAATTATAAATTTGTTCCTCGTCATCCACTCGTAAATAATTGCATATATAATTATGATATAACACGTTATCAATGCAAGTTAGAATGCAGATAACTACGCTCGATAATATGCTATATTACGCAATAAAAATATATATGTATATATGTATGTGTATGTGTGTACATACGTACGTATGTATGCGTGTATGTGTGTATATATATATATATATATACACACATATATATATATATACATATATATATGTATGTGTGTATATATATATATATATATACACACATATATATATATATACATATATATATATATGCATATTGTTAATTATTTCGTTATTAATAATAGAAAAATAAAAATATAAAAATGCGTACCAAAAAAAAAAAGAAATATAAAAGGCCACAAAAATTCGAATTACCATAAAGCATAATAATAATAAATTATTCAACATGCCATACACATATAACATTTTACAAGCATATATTACGTACGTAAAATATAAAAATGAAATATATTATTTCACATATTAGTAAATATAAGTAAATTGTTTTACTTATATGTGCAAGAAAAATATAGTAAAATCAAGACCTTGTTTTTTCTTCAGCAAAAAATAACAATAGACCTTGACAAGAATGAAAAAGCAAAAAAATTGACATTCTGAACGTAACACGCGCATTATCTAACATGGCTATCCTTCTTATTAATTTGTTATAAAAAAAAAAAAATATGTATACAAAAGAAATGAATTTTATCATTAGCAAATGTTTAATCGCATATAGCAAAATAAATATAAGCAAACTGATATCAATTAAATTTGATAATCGATATATACTTTCTAATAATCGAATTAGATAATATAGAAAATTGATTTTTTTAAAGAAGAATTTTTGTATTTCTATTTTCAAGGAAATGAGAATTTGGTCTAACAATAAGAGAAATATTTGTGTATATACTTATATACTTTTCCGAAAAAAATCTTCTAGGAATTTTAGAAAGGTTAATTTAAAACATTCTATCGTCATCGATCGAAACATCTTCGTGTGCAACATACTTAATCATCGATCAAATAAAATAAACAAGTTGATGGTGTGAAGCTACCTTAAAACATATTACCTTCACCTTCTCCCCTTTAGTTTCTTATATTACTTTCACTGGAAAAGATCCTCTCAGTCAGTCATATGTCTGTTCTCTAAGATAAGAAATATTATTTAAAATTTTTTTCATGCTATCGATTTAAAAAAAATGAAGAGTTTGATCGTAAGTGTTTAATTCATTTCTTTATCAATTAATCTATAACATTTGTTTGATATTTCTATTTTGCGCGGGGAAAATACGAAAAATTCTTAAATGTATTAATAAAAGTAAATATTTCTCTTTTTTTGTAATTAGATTGTCTTCGTTTTATCGACTTCCTGTCTTGGAGAGGTCTCACACATTTTATCAGAATATTCGATGACAACTACTAGCACATTACCACCACCTCCACAACCATACAGTTTTCAATACAAAGCGGGACGATATCCAGGACACGTTGATCGAATTCATCAAGAATCTGGAGATGGTTCCGGAACCGTTTATGGTAAATGTTCTCGTGGCCTTATATCTTCTTTATAGTTAATTCGATCATTAATTCGTTCATTTCTAACAATAATAACATTTGCTTATTAGGATCTTACTCGTTCATCGATCCTAAATACAAAGTACGAAGAGTGGAATATGTGGCTGATAAAAATGGATTTCATCCATCGTTGATAAATTACGACGATACGCTTAAACAGCCTGTTGATTCAGAAGCTGTGAAACTCGCGAAGGAAAGACATTTACAGCTTTATGAAAAATTAGCTGATGCTAATGCCCACGATATACCAATAAATGTACCAAAGGTAATGAATTCTATTAAAAATATAATTTATATTCATAATAGTCTATCTCAGCAAAAAAATGCCTGCGAATTATCTTCAAGATCATTCAATATCCTTTCTTTCACCTGATTATGCATCTATGCATCTTATGTATCTTCATGGTTTTATAGGATTCTGTTAGTGTACTAAAAGCGAAGGACAAACATTTACAGCTCTACCAGAAGATTGCCGAAGAACACGCGGCTATCGCATCTCAAAGAGAAGCAGAGCGTACAGCATATGAAGCAACTTCGATCGTTAATGACGTTAATGAACATCAAACATATTAAGAAACTACTAATAATAAAGAAAAATTGTTGATATAGTATCAATAAGATGAATTTACCTGTATAAAATCTTTTAGAATTTAAAAACAAGAATTTTTGTGCAATGCAAATTTGATAAAAAACGGACAATAGATGATTTTATAATTGTTATATATATAACATGTGTTATTAATCATAAAAGGACACGTGAGTCACATACACATGAATATCTTTCTTTATGAGTACCGGAACTGTTACTGTATATATTAAAAAAAAGATAAATACTATAATTACACTATGCATTGGTATAAAAGTCTAGGTGTGAAAAAAATAAAATTGTCGCCGTTTGTATCTCCGGGAAGATGAAGTTCTACGGTTTTTGGTTACTGCTTATTGCCATATTCTATATTACGGTATGATTTTTTATTATTTTAAGAAATTCTTGTTTGTGCAGTACACTTTAGTAATTTAATAATTATATATTTCTCGCGTATATTTATCTATATGAAATCACTCGAAAAATGGGGCGTATCCTTATCATATCGTAGAATGTTATATATATATATATATATATATATATATATATATATATATATATATATATGTTTATTTGTTTAATTTGACTATATTCCACATTTTACCATGTATTTCTATGAATTCCTATTAATAAAATAATAAATTGATATAAATAAAATGAAACATGAAATCTTATATATGAAAACATAAATTTAACAATACACGTCTATATAATGTCTGATGATCATAAATAATTATTAAGCATATGATGTCGATTTATTTAGATTACTGTAGGTAGGAACATCGATTATACCAGCAATACTTTTTCAAAATCTAAAAGCATCGCTTGTCGTGGAGGTCGAGGAAACAATGGAGGAGGAGGCACAAATGCTACTAGTGGTGCAACAGGAGCTATGACTAATATGACACCTAATTTAATGCGCACTGCACAACAAGCAATGGGTAAAACTTTAATTTAATCTTTTTAATTTTAGTTTTCCATTTTTTAAATTAAATATAGTTTTCCATTTTATCCATGAATATATTACAGATACCTTGACGGATATGGTGTCAAATATGAATCCAATGGGGTAAATCACGTATTTGTTCGAAATTATTGCACCATGTATCCGATAATCGAATTTACAAATATAATGATATTATAAATACTTTATAATCATTACTTTCATAATCAAAAATGCTTCTTGTAGTTGTTAAAAATATTAGAATTAAATAATAAAATAATAATTAATGAACACAATTATCTTAGTTTATTTTAATATATGTCCAAATATTTAATATATAGATCAACAGATATAGAATTTATTTAATAATAATATTGGCAGAATAACATTAGGAACAGTGTAATATAGGAAATATTTCGATTATAAGCATTAATAAACGTATTAATATATACGTGTAAATATTAATATAGAATGTTTTGATATAAATTGAAATTATATTTCAGAGAACAATGATACATATATAATATACATATGTGTATGAATTTTATGAAATGATACTGTAATAAACATGAAAAATTTTTTCTTTACTTATTTACAATAATAATATATTTCTCTATCTAACTTAAAGGGATTAAAAAAAATTACATTAACCACACCTTATACAATTGTAAAATAACAATTTTTATACTATATTGCAATTAAAATTAACATGATTTTATCCTATATTTTAATTTTTTTATTTAAATATTAATAAATGTTTAAAAATTTTTTTATATAATTTAGAAATATTCTGAGTATTTCAAAATTCGATTATTTGAAGAACACTTGAGAAAAATTAAACATTGTAGAAACCTTATTTCATAATTTACTTTTATGTAGTATTGTAAAAAAACATTACACGATTCTCTTACACATTATTTTTACATAGTTCAATTGTTTCATAAATCTTAAAAAGCAAATTTATATTATAAACACTAAATCTACTACACTTTTCATGTTTAAATTTCTGTATATATGCACATATCAAGAACAAATATATTGAATCATGTTCCATATCTGTATGTATATGTATACTCCTAGAGGAGTTAATAAATATTCTTTGTTAACATTTACTTTTTTAGTAAATATGTAAGATCTTTATTCTGTTTTTGTAATGTAATATCTGTTATTTCCACCTTATCTCTTACATTGTCAATTAAATCATTTTGTGACTCAATCTCTTCTGAAAGTCCGATTGCTAAACCTTTTAATCGTGCTAAAGATCCACTCATTTCATCTAAATTTTTTTCTAAAACTTTTGTTATATTATTTGTAGATGAATTTGTTTTTCGATCTTCATCGTCATCTACAAGACCTTGAAGTTTAAACGATGGATGATTATTAACCATATTAGTTTGCACTTGATCTAAGGAATTAGATAAAGTTGGCGATGATGTAGATCCAAAACTTGTAGATTCTGGTAGTTTAGTAGATGGTACAGGTGTATCAAGCGATTTTCCACTGAGGTAATTTTTTAAACTACCAAAAACACTCTTTATACCTTGAATGTGTTTTTGACTAAATCTCAATGTACTGTTAATATCATCCAACCTCTTTTCTGTCCTTTCTAATTGCTCTCTTTGTCTAATTAATTCCTGAAATTTTATCAATTTATTTTTACAATATGGTTTATAGTTTTATATTTAAAATTATTTATTTAATAAAAATATTTAAGTCAAGCAAATTTGTGAATTATATCTGTTAGTTAGTTTTTATTATATTGTGATCATTAAATTGTTATTTTAAAATTATGATAATTTAGATAAACAAACCTCTGCTGTAGCTGCACCAATCTGTTCAGAGTCTCTTAAAAGAGAAATAGATCGCTCTGATGAATGAATAGTACGCTCTTCTATTTCTCTTCTACGTTGCATTAACTGTTGACGTTTAACTTCAAGTTCATTGTCAAAATTATTAGCATAATTATACGATGAACCAGATGCCCTTGGTGCACTTTTTAAAAATGTTTCGTCGTCTACATCATCTTCTAACTCAAAAAATGGATTCTTTGTATCACTCAAATAATGTTGTCCTGCCATTTTGTACAATAACGTATAGCAACTGATAAATAATCTTGAAATTCGTTCCTCGAAAAGCTTTGGTTAAATTACTTATCACATACAATACACTGACATACACACGGATTCATGAGATTCAGTTCTCCTACCTATTGTTACAAAACTAACCTACGTAAGATGAAAATCTACTCGAAAAATATACGTTCGATTCTATAGTTTTTGATAAATTTATATAAACTTAGCTAATATCACATAATCGAATACAATCGAACTTTTTTAAAAATTGTAAAAATTATATTTCACAGAAAGAATAATACAAAAATGTAAATAATTTTTTCTTAGAGTTTCTTATTACGAAACTTTAACTCATTAAATCTCCACGAGATAGCGCGAATAATAACATCATTGTACTTTCTACTATAATAGGAAGTGCTCACTACGCAAGTATTTTAGTCGAGCTGTCAATAATACTTGCGAAGAAGTAAATATAATAAATTATCAAAAGAAAAAAAAATTTAGTTTAACTCTATCATAAGTAATACATTTTTTTTTATTAAAACAGTATGGATTTATCAAAACTTACAAATGAAAGAAAATTATATCTTTGCCGATGGTATTTTCGTGGTAAGTACTAACAATCAAAGAAAAAAAAAAAAAAAAACAAAAAAAAAACAAAACAAATTCGTGATATCATGTTTTTGATCATAAAATATACAATTTTTATTTTTTCTATATAGCTGGATTTGCATTGCTTCCATTTCTTTGGGCTGTTAATGCAATTTGGTTTATACGAGAGGCTTTTATCGTACCACCTTATGAGGAACAAAAACAGATTAAAAGATGTATGTATTGTATTGTTTCTATTAAAACAGAATTGTTAATAAACGGATAATATTATAGATGTAATATTTTCTGGCATTGGAGCTATCTTATGGATGATTGCCCTTGTTGCATGGATCGTAATATTTCAAACACAAAGAGCTGCCTGGGGAGAATTTGCAGATCATATTAGTTATATCATCCCTATTGGTATTCCTTGATAACTCATATAATATTTTAATAATTTATTATTGTATTTATCTAATAAAAAATTGCTACTTATTATAATTATAACTACTTTTTTACATACGTTAAAAATAACTACATCTTCATATATACATATAAAACTCAATTAATGTAAAAATATATCATTTATTTAACAATAATAATTAATATTTAAATTAAAATTGAGTAATTTTGTTAGTATATACATAGTTAATCCATTTGTATTTGTAAAAAAGTTCTTGTATCTTAATCTTAAGATACACTTCACTTATACAATCCTTCGTCGCTGTCCATACAATTGTATATCTTTATAAACTAATCTGGACAAAAACTGAAATAAATAAATAAATAAATAAATAAATAAATAAATAAATTACATATATATATATACACACACGTGTGTGTGTATGTGTAGAATAGTACTGTTTATAAATGTATATATATTTATTTATAAAATTTACTTACAACTAGAGCTAACGCGTTTGCAAACATGAGCATATAAAAAACATTATGCCATCCTGCCCATTGGGAAACAAATCCTGTTAATAATGGGCCAACTGCAGCACCAATACTGCCTGTTCCATCAATAATTGCAGTAACTGTTGCTAAAGCTTTAGAACTGTCTCCCAAACTAGGATGAGTTCCTAATTCAGCAGATACTGCAGTCGTTATTAAAGCATATGGTCCATTAACTAACAATCCTGTTGTTAATAATAATAGTATACTAACACTTAAACTCATACTTTCTAAATAATCATAAATAAATAACTGAAAAACAAACATTAATTATCATTATAATAAATTAACATGATTTTATGAATATTTTTTCAGTATAAAAGATATTACTGTTGGAATTGCAAATCCAAGCATTACAGCACATGTTAAAGCACTCATACCACTGTAGTCTGATAAAACACCAGCAACTATTGCACCTGCAATACCTCCTACATCAAATAATATTGATAAATATGCACTTAATGTTGTATTATATGTACCTAAAAAATATAAATATAAATATTGATAATTTTTTAATATTTAAGGATACTCTAATATTTTAGTATTAATTTACTAACTTGAAACTGCAATATACAATGGCAACCAGTAAAGCAATGTGTAGCTTACAAGTTTTGCAAAAAATAATGAAGAAGAATATTCGAGTACACCGGGTATACTTATGGCTCCAAAAAACCCAATAGCATTCTCTTCAGCATGATGGTGCAAACGTCTATTTGTTGATAACATTGGACTAGTTTCGGATCTTAAGCTTGGTGAATCCTTTCAAAATAAAAATTTATATTATGTTCAACTAATAATTTAAATACATTAAGTATTATATAATAATTCATAGTTAATATATTTTAACTACAAGGTCACTGAAAATATGCATGCACTTACGTTAGTAACATTTTGTTCACGGTAGACACAGCGATAGATGACACGCTAGGTAAAGGAAACGGGTATTTTTTAGTGGGCATATTATATGTCAAATGCATAAATTATATGAATTAAAAACTATTGAAGTAGATATGTAGTTTGTCAGTATCATTACAAACACCATAAAATTACTTGTTATTCTGGAATACTACAAAATAGACTAATATATGAAGAAGAAACAGAAAATGAATTAATAGTAATTATATTTTTAAATTTGAAAAAACTGATGATAATTGTCATGCTTATACTTCATGTATCAACGTGCAATTTACTTGAGTTAGATGGGAAATCAAAACATATTTTTACTGTTGTTTTACTAAAAACATTACTAAATGCAATGTTATGTTATTATTGACTATAATTAAAATAGCAATAATATTATGCAATATGCATTATTTATCATTATATATAGAATATTACTGTATAGTATCATTTCACTATAATTAGAAACTTACATCTTCTCTAGGAGTATGAGATTCTTCGACATCTTCAATACTATCTTCATCTGAACTATTAGTTGCATCTATTTTTCTATATCCAAGTGAATTAGGAAGAGAACATCCTACATCAATAGGTGCAGGTGCTAAGAATAAAAAAATTATAAATCCTGCCAAACCCATTATAGCTCCTGGTATCATGAAACTTAAACCCCAGTCAGATTCAACAAATTTAGCTGCAACTAAAGTTCCCAATATATTTCCTAAAGATGTATGAGAATTCCATATTCCAAAAATTAAGCCTCGTTTTCTTCTTCCAAACCAATTTCCTACAACTGTTACCACACCTGGCCAACCTGAAGTTTGAAATACTCCACCAGCAGCCTAAAAAAAATTAAATTTTATTATAAAAAATGTACATTTTTTTTATTATAAAGTAAACTATTATTGAATATAATTGTTTAGAACATATTATATTAATACCAACCTGAACCAAAATAAAATACCATAGATTATGTATCTTATACGGTCTAGCAATTCCAAATAAATAACAAGAAATACCAGATGTTAGCATACCAAGGGAAATGAAATAACGCAGATTAACACGTTCAGCAATAAATCCACTATATGAAAAAATAAAATGTTAATTTTAATGCAATTTTTTGATACTACAATGATTAATAAGCTCACTTTAAAGCGTCACCTGAGAAACATGGCAGCTGCATATGCAAATAAGAATGCTGAATCTAACATACCAAGTAATGCTGGAGCATCTGATGTGTCTATTGAAATATAAATAATTTAATAAAGTCTAATAATACATAAAAATATGTTTTTATAATATGTACTTTGCTAAAATATACAACATAAATAAATATTAATTACCAAATGGAGCCCAATCACACCATGTATCTCGATTGGTATCATTAATAATAATATCATCTGGTGGTGATAAATTACTGCAATTAAGGCTTAATACATTTTTTACCACAGATATAGGCTTTCTTGTCATGTGATAACAAGTATATGATAAATACGTAAGTGCAAATATGCCTCCTTGATGCCATATAAGTCGATTAATACGACGATGAGGACAACATTTTGATGTTATATATTCAATCATTTGTAAACCCCATGGGGCATCTTTTAGAGATATCATATTTAAATGCATTTATTAAGTACTTTTTAATGCAATTGCAGTTTATTATAGTTGTATATGTTTAAATGCAAGTCTACTTTCTTATTAATATCAAAGTAAATAGATTAAAATATCAATTATATTTTGATAAGTATAAATACTTTTCATTAAACAGAAAGATATTTCTATGCTTTCTCTTGACAATTGTTATATTATATTAAAATACTAATATAGTACCTGTATATATATATATATATAATTTTACATTTATATATAAATACTATTGTCGTAAACATGGAAACAGTATTTAAAACACTACACTATTTTAGAACATATATTATAAAACCTAACATAATTTAATTATTTTTAATTGTTCTCCATGAACAAGATAAAATTAAAATTAAAATAATGAAATTAATAAAAAGAATGTACGGACCAGAATGTACTGTATGAGTCATAACCTAAAACAAAATAAACAAAGAAAATAATTATAATTATGAATATATAAGAATGACTAAGTTGTATTAATTTCTCACTTTGAACGAACTAAAGACTGTAATTATTAAACACACCTGACATAGTATGGTAATTTAAAATGGAATGTTTATTGTCCTGAGTAACAAAGCATCACAACTGGTCAAATATGAAACGTACACTAAGCCTTGAATGGAACCTTGGCTTATTACCACATTCAGGAAACAAAGTTCAATTTCCAAGTTCAATAAAATTTTTGCAATTGCGCGAAATTTGAATTAAAAGTGAACAAAAAATTTGACACAAAGTTTCATCGATATTTTATATGTTAGATGAAAGTATAAGTAATTAAATTCAACAAAAATAAAAATAGTAGTATTTCAAAAAGAAAAAAAGTCATTTATCATAACCATAAACATTTTTACAATAACCATCGGTTGGATTTAACTTTTTATAACATATTTTTTTGCAAAATTAAGATGCCAATATGCTAATTGAAGAATGTGCATCTATTCTGCAATGGCATCCAAAAATAATATTAACTTCGACTTCACCAGTATCATGGCAAGGGTATCTAATAATCGTATGTCCTTTGAATACTATAGAAAAACAGAAAATTAAAGTGAAACTAACTTTACCAAATTATCCAGCGTTACACAATGCAGTGCTTAATTTTGGTAAAAGTTTTGCTTTTTTACGGAAGAGAACATTTATTAAAAGTGTAAACGATTTGATTAAAAGGGCGTCTTCAGTATCATCTTTTTTGAGATTATTACAATCACTTATTGTAAGTTTCTTTTTATATTAACATTGAATTTTTTTTTTTTTTTTTTTTTTTTTTAATAGAATCAATTAAATAAAGTTATATTTTAATGTAGAGTGAATCTATCTGTAAATTAAACAAAGAATATAATGTACCAATCGATTTATCACCGACTGTCATACTTCAAGATTTAAAAGATATCTTTGAATCTCAATCCGTAAGTTTTGAAATATGAAAACATTAGTATTGAATACAATTTTATATTATATATGCAATTTAATCATATTATTCTTCCAAGGATATTAAACTATCATCTAATAGTTCATTAAATATAATTAAACTATCATTGAGGAACATTCATATCGTATTAAAAAAAACTAATGATAGTATTAATCCATGGAATGTTATATCCAATGATTTACCCGAAATACCTGCATTAGGATCTTTTAACCAGAATATATCTTCCCTAATTACCGTAATAAATAAATTTAAGCAACAAGTAGAAATACTTGATGATTTATGGCAAGTTCTATCAGATATCGATAGGTAAATCTGAATATATAATTAGATATTTAGAGAATTATTTTGATATTACATACATGTATTATTTTAACGTTTTATAAAATGTTTACAGAAGTTGCTGCATATTAGATCCAATTCCTCCAAAGCCTTATCATTTATATAGGCGTGTGTACTTATCAGAATCATTGTCGATGCTGATTACAATAAACCCCCTAAATCCTACCTCGCTTCCAGAATTCAAATTTTTAGGTAGTGATGTAGATGTACAAAGACAAAAAGATATTATTTCTGAGAACATGCATGTATGTATTATGAATAAAAATTATATGATATTATGAATAATTATGTTTATTACTGTTGTAATTTTACAGATATGGAATTCAGAAAATGGCATATTAGAAAATTTATTCATGTTGTTAAATATATCTAAGTTTCCTCAAAAACAAGAACAATATGATAGCATTAATGATAAAAATTGTATGTTTATGGATGAAGAATGTTGTATTTGTTTCTCCTTGGAATCAGATAAGGAACAATTTCCAAATAAAATTTGCGATAATATTAAATGCAGAAGACACTTTCATACAAAATGTTTGTTACAGGTATATAAAATTTCTTTAAAAAGTATTACAAAAATGATTATTTGTACTAATTTATTAAATTTATATAATTATTTCAGTGGTTACAAGCAGTAGCTGGAAACCAAGTTGCATTTGGTCACATACATGGTACCTGTCCTCATTGTGAAGAAAATATATCCTGTCCTATTAATTGATTTAATAATTGATTAAAGTCAGTCGAAATAATAAAAACAAATCTTATTATTTGAATATGTGTATATGAGAATAATTATTTTCTCTTGACCATTGTTCAACAGATTGATTGAATTCATTTGTACCACATATTAAAATTAAAGTTCTTTCTGGTTTACCAGATTGTAGATAATTATAAACTGACTGTTTATTTAGACGCCCATTTTCAATATTAATACCATGAATATTTTGGTCACTATCTATAAAAAGATTCTTCATAGAATTTCAATATTATCTCACAATATTATGCATATTGCTAATATACCTGAAATCAGATTTTCTGATATATGTAATGTACATACAAAATTCCAATAATCTGATAAATATTGTAATTCTTTTTTCAAAGGCACACATAAGATCGATCGAAATCCAGCGATAAAACTTATTCTAGTTTCTTCTATCTCATTTTCTACAATTATCTTAGCTAAAGAATAAACTGCTGTAATTCCAGAGCCTATACAGAACATAATGATTTCCTGAAAACTAACCAAAGTAAAAAATATAATACATTGTAACTTTTATAACAATTTTATAACACACCTATTATACTTATATCTAAAATCCCCATATGGTCCTCTGATTTCAAATTCGTCATTTTTTTTTGCATTATTTAGAAGCTGACTAAATTTACCTGTTGGGTATACTTTTACGAGAAGTAATAAATTTTTATTTGACCAAGAAATAGGTGTATAAGCTTTTGACATAGAATTAGAACGTAATATAATATGTTGTCCAGGAACAAGATGTAAAGACTTATCATTGTCAATATTACTTTCTATATAAAAAATATAATTATAAATTTTTAGTAAAATCTTAATTTTTATAAAATAGGTTTACATTAAATTACCTTTATATTCTAACCGTATAAAAATATAATCTTGAGAAGCTTTATAAGTATCACTAACTATAAAAGGATTAAAAGAGGTTGGAGATATTAAATTTCTCATTGGTTCTATAATTACATTATTTTTTCTTCTTTCTTCCCATTGTTTTAATAACTTTTGATGAATATCTAAAATACAAGGATTACAACCACTGCCACAACAACTTTCCTCAGGAGGAGTTTCAGGTCGTTTGTCATAAACATCTTCGTCTTTGTAAGAAATCATTTTTAATGAAATACTTTTACTTTAATTTAGCTAATACTATGAAATAATTTAGTAATCATATTTTATCTTTCAATAAAGTATTATTTTTATAAGATAAATACAAAGCATTATTGCACAAAAATTAAAAGCGTGATTTCTATTATGACTAATCATACAAATCACATGTAAGTATAAATGAGTAAACACATTGTATTATCATTAAGTTTAAAATGAATATTATTCGTTTAACATTTGACATTAGTCGACATTTTTTACTGAATCTATGTATATTTGAGCTATAACCTATGTATATATATATATATATATATATATGTCCTTTAAAGTGTCATTCAAATTGTGTATTAGGTTCAGTATACATATATGTTTGAAAAGAACATCATTTTAAATTCAATCTCCGAACACATTGTAATAAGATTAATTAATTATATATTGTTGAATTACGATGGAAATAAACTTATTGCGTGTATTAATGTATAATATGTTTTTATTTCTGTTATCAATCGTTGCGCATGCGGAAGAAGAAATTTCCACCAAATTTAAAATTCAACCAATCAGATCCGATCCGTTAAAAACAGCATTATTTAGAATACAATCAAATGCAGATTATCGTATGTACTATAAGACAATCTTTAATTATAATACTTTATTTAAATGTTTATTTCCATACTAATTAACCACTAATTTTAATTTATATTTGTATATATTACAGTGAGAGAATCGTTTGTGAGAAATAGAAAAGATTATTTAGAAATTATTAAAGCTATAAAAAAAGAAAATAAATCTGATCGTAAATTATTAATAATCATAGAATTAATGCTAGAGATAGTGCGTTCTATTCAAGAAAGTTCAATAATAATAGATAATGCCAGATCTAATATTAAAAAAGAAGCTTTTCCAAAGAGTGATGGTATTATAAGTGGTAAGTCATATTTACAAAAAAATGAACAATATGCGAAGAATAAATATTATAAAATCAACAGCTCAGATTATATATTACTGGTATCATTTTTGTTAATCTTATAGCCTTGTTTACGATATTGGAGAAAGTATGTTTTTTTGGAGATCTTGTTTTTCATTTCCCAGATATGGTTACTAAAATTTTAAGACTTGAAACAAAATGGAGTGAAATACTATTGTTGTCTGTGCAATATACTGATTCAGTTCAACATTTGATGGATGAATCTAGTTATTCTGTAATTTCATTAGCTAAAAAGGAACTTAATAAAATAAAAGAAAAATCTGAAAAAAAAAAATATTTGTTTAATAAAAAGCAGTCAAAGAGACTCTCAAAATTCATGAAATTGGAATTATAAAAATTCTTGCGATAGCTTCAGTAAAATATATTTAAAAATATTTTTTAATTTAAGTAAATTTTAAAAAGATTTATATTTCGATTCACTTCATATTAACATTGATGAAAGTCTTTTTTAACTTTACAAATTACAGATATTTTACATAAATTCATATAATTGTATTAATCCTTGAAATGTATATAATTTATTTAATATATTTGTATATAGGTATGAAGTAACTGTGTATATATGTAATAAATATAATTCGATGATTTTTTATATTATTTTACACTTTATATTAACAACACAACCAAATTCTAGATGTGATACAATTTTATTACAATATGAATAATACTCCTTTTATATAATATTTATACACATCTCATCCAACACTTGATGAAATAATTCAACAATAATTTTTTATCTTTTAGTAAATTATTATTTCATAAATAATATAAACAAACATAATATTATTAAATAAAATTTAAAAGCATAATCTTTATTATGACTATTCGTGAAAATCACATGTGAGTATAAATGAGTATAAAACATTATATTATCATTAGACTGTAAATGAATATTATCCGTCAGAACAGTTGACGTTAGTTGACATTTTTTATTAAACCTATATTTGACCTATATTCTATGTTATTTATATATGTCCTTAGAAGTATCATTTAAATTATATCAAACGTATTTAGTATGTATATATATATATATATACGTTTGCATTTACGAAAGAATATCATTCTAAATGTAAGTTACGAACTCATTGTAATAAGATTAATTAATTATACATTGTTGGGTTATCATGGAAATAAAATTACTGCGTGTATTAATCTATATTAAGTTTTTATGTCTGGTATCAATCGTCGCGCATGCGGAAGAGGAAAATTCCACCGGATTTAAAATTCAACCGATCACAACCGATCCGTTAAAAGCAGCATTATTTAGAATACAATCAAATGCAGATTATCGTATGTATAATAAAACAATTTTTAATTATAATAATTTATTTAAATATTTATTTCCATGATAATTAAGCACAAATTTTTATTTATAATTGTATATATTACAGTGAGAAAATTGTTTGTGAGAAATAGAGAAGATTATTTAGAAATTATTAGAGCTATACAAATAGAAAATAAATCTGATCGTAAATTATTAATAATCATGGAATTAATTGAAGAGATAGTGCATTCTATAGAAGATTATTCAATAGAAATAGATAATGCCAGATCTAATATTAAGAATGAAACTTTTTCAATGAGTGATGATATTATAAATGGTAAGTCATATTTACAAGAAAATGAACAATATTATGCGAATGATAAATATTATAAAATCAACAGCTCAGATTACTGGTATCATTTTTGTTAATCTTATAGCTTTGTTTTCGATATTGGAGAACGTATCTTTTTTTGGAGATCTTGCTTTTCATTTCCCACATATAGTCGCTAAAATTTTAACATTTGAAAAAAAATGGATTGAAATACTATTGTTGTCTGGGCAATATACTGATTTAATTGAAGATATTGTGGATGAATCTAGTTATCCTGTAATTTCATTAGCTACAAAGGAACTTAATAAAATAAAAGAAAAATCTGGAAAAAAATATTATTTGTATAATAAAAAGAAGTCAAAAAAGAGTTTCTCAAAATTGATGAAAATGGAATTATAAACATTCTAGTGATAGTTTCAATAAAATATATTTAGAAATATTTTTTAATTTAAATAAATTTTAAAAAGATTTATATTTCGATTCAATTCATATTAACATTGATAAAAATCTTTTCTAACTTTACATATTGCAGATATTATACATAGATTCATATAATTGTATTAATCCTTGAAGTGTATATAATTTATTTAATATATTTGTATATAGGTATGAAGTAGCTGTGTATGCATGTAATAAATATAAATTGATGATATTTTATATTATTTTACACTTTATATTAACAACACAACCAAATTCTAGATGTGATACAATTTTATTACTATATGAATAATACTCCTTTTATATAATATTTATACACATCTCATCCTACACTTGATGAAATAATTCAACAATAATTTTTTATCTTTCAGTAAATTATTATTTCATAAATAATATAAACAAACATAATATTATTAAATAAAATTTAAAAGCATAATCTTTATTATGACTATTCGTGAAAATCACATGTGAGTATAAATGAGTATAAAACATTATATTATCCTTAGACTGTAAATGAATATTATCCGTCAGAACAGTTGACGTTAGTTGACATTTTTTATTAAACCTATATTTGACCTATATTCTATGTTATTTATATATGTCCTTAGAAGTATCATTTAAATTATATCAAACGTATTTAGTGTGTATATATATATATATACGTTTGCATTTACGAAGGAATATCATTCTAAATGTGAGTTACGAACACATTGTAATAAGATTTATTAATTATAATGGTTACCATGGAAATAAAATTACTGCGTGTATTAATCTATATTAAGTTTTTATTTCTGGTATCAATCGTCGCGCATGTGGAAGAGGAAAATTCCACTAAATTTAAAATTCCACCGGTCACAACCGATCCGTTAAGAACAGCATTATTTAAAATACAATCAAATGCAGATTATCGTATGTATAGTAAAACATTCTTGAATTATAATATTTTATTGAAATGTTTATTTCCATGATAATTAAGCACAAATTTTAATTTTTTTTGTATATATTACAGTGAGAAGAATGTTTGCAAGATATAGAGAAAGTTATTCAGAAATTATTAAAGCTATACAAACAGAAGATATATCTGATCGTAAATTATTAATAATCATGGAATTAATTCAAGAGATAGTGTATTCTATTCAAGAATGTTCAATAGAAATACATAATGCCAGATCTAATATTAAAAATGGAGCTACTTCAATGAGTAATGATATTATAAATGGTAAGTCATATTTACAAAAAAATGAACAATATTATGCGAAGAATAAATATAATAAAATCAACAGCTCAGATTATATATTACTGGTATCATTTTTATTAATCTTATAGCCTGGTATACGATATTGGAGAATATATCTTTTTTTGGTGATCTTGTTTTTCATTACCCAGATATAGTCGCTAAAATTTTAAAATTTGAAAAAAAATGGATTAAAATATTATTGTTGTCTGCACAATATACTGATGTAATTGAAGATTTGGTGGATGAATCTAGTTATGCAATAATTTCATTAGCTAAAAAGGAACTTAATAAAATAAATAAAAAATGGGGAAAAAAGTATTATTTGTCTAATAAAAAGCAGTCAAAGAAGAGTTTCTCAAAATTCATGAAATTGGAATTATAAACATTCTTGCGATAGCTTCAGTAAAATATATTTAAAAATATTTTTAATGTAAATATATTTTAAAAAGATTTATATTTCGATTCACTTCAAATTAACATTGACAAAAATCTTTTCTAACATTAAAAATTACAGATATTATACATAAATTCATATAATTGTATTAATCCTTGAAATGTATATAATTTATGTAATATATTTGTATATAGGTATGAAATAGCTGTGTATGTAATAAATATAATTCGTTGATATTTTATATTATTTTACACTCTATATTAACAATACAACCAAATTCTAAATGTGATACAATTTTATTACAATTTGAATAATACTCCTTTTATATAATATTTATACACATCTCATCCAAGATTTGATAAAATAATTCAACGATAATTTTTCTTTTTCAGTAAATTATTATTTCATAAATAATATAAACAAACATAATATTAATATATAATCACATGTGAGTATAAATGAGTATAAAACATTATATTATCATTAGACTGTGAATGAATATTATATTCGATATGAATATTATTATCCGTCAGAACAGTTGACGTTAGTTGACATTTTTTATTAAACCTATATTTGACCTATATTCTATGTTATTTATATATGTCCTTAGAAGTATTTAAATTCTATCAAACGTATTTAGTATGTATATATATACGTTTGCATTTACGAAAGAATATCATTCTAAATGTAAGTTACGAACACATTGTAATAAGATTAATAAATTATATTTGTTTTTTAAGTCATCATGCAAAAAAAATTACTTTTTGTATTAATGCATATTAAGTTTTTATTTCTGTTATCAATCGTCGCACATGCGGAAGAGGAAATTTTCACCAAATTTAAAATTCAACCAATCAGAACCGAACCGTTAAAAGCAGCACTATTTAAAATACAATCAAATGCAGATTATAGTATGCACTATAAGACAACCTTTAATTATAATAATTTATTTAAATGTTTATTTCCATGATAATTAAGCACAAATTTTAATTTATAATTGTATGTATTACAGTGAGAAAATCATTTGCGACGCATAGAGAAGATTATATAGAAGTTATTAAAGCTATACAAACAGAAAATAAATTTGATCGTAAATTATTAATAATCAAAGAATTAATGGAAGAGATAGTACATTATATTCAAGCAAGTTCAACAGTAATAGATACTGCCAGATCTAATATTAACAATGAACCTTTTTCAATGACTGATGATATTACAAATGGTAAGTCATATTTACAAAAAAATGAACAATATTATGCGAATGATAAATATTATAAAATCAACAGCACAGATTATATATTACTGTTATCATTTTTGTTAATCTTATAGCCTTGTTTTTGTTATTGGAGAACATATCTTTTTTTGGAGATCTTGTTTCTCATTTCCCAGATATAGTTGCTAAAATTTTAAAACTTGAAAAAAAATGGATTGAAATACTATTGTTGTCTGTGCAATATACTGATTTAATTGAAGATTTGGTGGATAAATCTAGTTATGCTGTAATTTCATTAGCTAAAAAGGAACTTAATAAAATAAAAGAAAAATCTGGAAAAAATAATAATTTGTCTAATAAAAAGAAGTCAAAGAAGAGTTTCTCAAAATTCATGAAATTGGAATTATAAACATTCTTGTGATAGCATCAGCAAAATATATTTAAAAATATTTTCTAATGTAAATAAATTTTAAAAAGATTTATATTTCGATTCAATTCATATTAACTTTGATAAAAGTCTTTTCTAACTTTACAAATTACAGATATTTTACATAAATTCATATAATTATATTAATCCTTGAAATGTATATAATTTATTTAATATATTTGTATATAGGTATGAAGTAGCTGTGTATATATGTAATAAATATAATTTGGTGATATTTTATATTATTTTACACTCTATATTAACAACACAACCAAATTCTAAATGTGATACAATTTTATTACAATTTGAATAATACTCCTTTTATATAATATTTATACACATCTCATCCAAGATTTGATGAAATAATTCAACGATAATTTTTCTTTTTCAGTAAATTATTATTTCATAAATAATATAAACAAACATAATATTATTAAATAAAATTTAAAAGCATGATTTTTATTATGACTATTCGTGAAAATCACATGTGAGTATAAATGAGTATAAAACATTATATTATCATTAGACTGTGAATGAATATTATATCCGATATGAATATTATTATCCGTCAGAACAGTTGACGTTAGTTGACATTTTTTATTAAACCTATATTTGACCTATATTCTATGTTATTTATATATGTCCTTAGAAGTATTTAAATTATATCAAACGTATTTAATATGTATATATATACGTTTACATTTACGAAAGAATATCATTCTAAATGTAAGTTACGAACACATTGTAATAAGATTAATAAATTATATTTGTTTTTAAGTCATCATGCAAAAAAAATTACTTTTTGTATTAATGCATATTAAGTTTTTATTTCTGTTATCAATTGTCGCATATGCGGAAAAGGAAAATTCCACCAAATTTAAAATTCAACCAATCACAACCGATCCATTAAAAACAGCAATATTTAAAATACAATCAAATGCAGATTATCGTATGCACTATAAGACAATCTTTAATTATAATACTTTATTTATATGTTTATTTCCTTGATAATTAAATACAAATTTTAATTTATATATATATACATTACAGTGAGAAAATTTTTTGTGAGATATAGAGAAGAATATATAGAATTTATTAAAGCTATACGAACAGAAAATAAATCTGATCTTAAATTAATAATCATAGAATTAATTGAAGAGATAGTGCGTTCTATTCAAGAAAGTTCAACATTAATAAATAATACCAAAGCTAATATTAACAATGGAACTTTTTCAAAGAGTGCTGGTATTATAACTGGTAAGTCATATTTATAAAAAAATGAACAATATTATGTGAATGATAAATATTATAAAATCAACTGCTCAAATTATATATTTCTGGTATCATTTTTGTTAATCTTATAGCCTTGTTTTCGATATTGGAGAATGTATCTCTTTTTGGAGATCTTATTTTTCATTTCCCAGATATGGTTGCTAAAATTGTAAGACTTGAAAAAAAATGGATTGATATACTATTGTTGTCTGCGCAATATGTTGATTCATATGAAGATATTGTGGATGAATCTAGTTATGCTGTAATTTCTTCAGCTATTAAGGAACTTAATAAAATAAAAGAAAAATCTGGAAAAAATAATAATTTGTCTAATAAAAAGAAATCAAAGAGGAGTCTTTCAAAATTCATGAAATTGGAATTATAAAAATTCTTGCGATAGCTTCAGTAAAATATATTTAAAAATATTTTTTAATTTAAGTAAATTTTAAAAAGATTTATATTTCGATTCACTTCATATTAACATTGATGAAAGTCTTTTTTAACTTTACAAATTACAGATATTTTACATAAATTCATATAATTGTATTAATCCTTGAAATGTATATAATTTATTTAATATATTTGTATATAGGTATGAAGTAACTGTGTATATATGTAATAAATATAATTCGATGATTTTTTATATTATTTTACACTTTATATTAACAACACAACCAAATTCTAGATGTGATACAATTTTATTACAATATGAATAATACTCCTTTTATATAATATTTATACACATCTCATCCAACACTTGATGAAATAATTCAACAATAATTTTTTATCTTTTAGTAAATTATTATTTCATAAATAATATAAACAAACATAATATTATTAAATAAAATTTAAAAGCATAATCTTTATTATGACTATTCGTGAAAATCACATGTGAGTATAAATGAGTATAAAACATTATATTATCATTAGACTGTAAATGAATATTATCCGTCAGAACAGTTGACGTTAGTTGACATTTTTTATTAAACCTATATTTGACCTATATTCTATGTTATTTATATATGTCCTTAGAAGTATCATTTAAATTATATCAAACGTATTTAGTGTATATATATATATATATACGTTTGCATTTACGAAGGAATATCATTCTAAATGTAAGTTACGAACACATTGTAATAAGATTAATAAATTATATTTGTTTTTTAAGTCATCATGCAAAAAAAATTACTTTTTGTATTAATGTATATTAAGTTTTTATTAATAATTTCAACGGTCGCGAAAAAAAGCGAACATACGAAAGAGCAAACTTCAAAGTTTAAACTGCCAACCAAATACAATCTGTTAAAAAGTGCAACTTTCCAATTAGAACCAAATGGAGAATTATGTACGCATTATAAGACAATTTTTAATATTATAATACTTTGTTTAAATGTTTATTTTACATGATAATTTATATATATATATATTATAGTTAAAAAGTCGCTTTTAAGAAATGCACAAGGATATCAAGAGGCTATCAAAATATTAGAAGATATTGATACATATGAACGTAGATACATAATGATCAAACAAATTATTAAGGATGCAATTCATATTATTGAAGATAAAACATCAATGCTAGAGAATATAATGTCTAATATTAACAAGGGAATCGTTTCAAATAATGATGGTATAATAGAGTGTAAGTCATATTTGAAAAAAATAAACCTAACATTATGCGAAGGATAAATATAAAATCAATGATTTATATTATATGTTATTGATATCATTTTTGTTGATCTTATAGGCTTGTTTTTTATATTGGAGCAAACATCTTTTTTTGGAAATGTTGTTCTTAATTTTCCGGATATTACTCGTAAAATATTAAAAAATCAAAATAAATGGAAAGAAACAATGAATTGGTCTTTACATTTTGCTAATAAAATGCAACATTTGTTGGATGAATCCATTATTACTATAATTTCTTCAGCTATTGAAGAGCTTAATAACACAAGACGAAAATCTGAATCCATAAATTATGAAAAAAGTAATCATTTGTCTAACAAAAAGAAGTTCAAGAAAGGAATGTCAAAACAAAAAAAAGGTCCAAAATTAATAAAATACGATTTATAAACATTTTTGTGGTAAATAATAAAAAGTAGGGAATATTTTTTAAGTTAAATAAATCGTTTAAAAAGATTTATATTTCGATTCACTTCATATTACTATTGACAAAAATCTTTTCTACCTTTATGTGTATAGAATTCAAATATAGATTCATATATCTGTGTTAATCCTTGAAATATATATAATTCATTTAATGTATTTTTATATAGATACGGAATGTGTGTGTATGTTAAATACAATTTGAAGATATTTTATATTATTTTACATTTTATATTAACAACACATCAGATTCACATTTTATATTAACACAATTAGATTCTAACAGTGTAATACAATTTTATTACAATTTGAACAATACTACTTTTATACAATATTTATACGCATTTCATCCAAGATCTAAAAATTAATCTAAAAATTTGAAATCTTTCTAATGTTGAATAGGAAGTTCTAAATATAAAATAGTATTATTATTTATCAGTCTAATCATATACATCTATCTAAGATTGTGACTAGAATTATAATTAAATTTTTTAGTACAATTTAAATATATGCAACACTTTGAACAAAAGAAGTGTTATGAATGAATCATATTAAGATTTTCTATAATATATTGATTAATATTTTTAATGACGAAATAGATAAAAATCCTAATTCTTCTATCATAAATAAAATATTTTATAAGCATACTTTATATATACATATAGAATAATAGATATATAATCTTTAGTATTTAATATTTATGATTTAGAGAACTACAAACTCTCTGCATGTATCTCTTTGGCACATGAATTCACTTTTACTTAATTTTAAACATTTATAACTACAAAAAAATATAAATTTATTATTAGGGCAATATTTACTTTGAATTAGTATTTTTTAATATATGCTCAACAGAGTAAATATTGTATTTTTTCTAATTTTATGTAATTTCTTAATATTATAATATTGCTGAATAGAAAAAAATTAATACATGACAATGATTCATCAACTATTTTCTTGGGTAGAGACCTATAAATTTTAATAACTTAAATACTTATGTATACTATATATGCCACATATTATTTTTAATTCTGTTATTTATATTATTCTTCTTTTTTTTAATTAAAAACAAATTTGTACTTTTTTCTTTAGTTTAATGAATATAGCAAACTAATATTTTTATGGAAGTACAGAAGTTAAAGAACATATTTTTTTCAATCTTAATATTCTTAGTCTCATTTATAATTTAATTTACGCAATTATAAAATGATGATTTTTGATAGATTAATTATTATTAATAGTTCAAAAATATTTTTATTCTATAAGTGACTCATTTCTGAAATGAGCAATAGTATATAATTGTATAAAAACATTGATTTTTCATATTCATGGGCATATTTACAAAATTTTTGTTTATCTTTAAAACACTTTTAATATTCGTGCTAAGTTGGAAGGCATGCAATAAATGAATTAATAAGTAAATAAATATATATGTGTATATAACAAATGTACAAAACTTCTCTATATAGTTCATCATTTTTGTGAATTATATTAATAATTTTACTTGATTTTGCCATAATAATTTTTATACATTATTATGTATAATGCTATTTTTATAAATTAATGCTATTTTTATAAATTATTATGTAAATGCTATTTTTAACTTTTTAGCATTTTCATGTATTTTTTTTATCCATTTGGAAATATATACATTTTCTAAGTACTTATTTCTTTAAAATCTAACATGTACAACGGAAGGAACATTTCTAAAAATATGATAGTTGTACATCTAAATCTTAGATATACCAATATCACAGTGACAGAAAAGCATAAATTAGTTTGTTACTTACTCTGATTAAACATTGTTATTAACTGTGTTTTGCAGAAAAAGGATATGCTTTCCAGCGCCAATACCATGCCATTTCAATTTGATTAAATCCAGTTGTAAATAAAGATAATCCAATAAAAAAGATAGCATGCACCAATGCCCACAGTTGAAATATTGGAGAAATAATTAATAAGAGTATTGTCGTACCTGTAAATATAGATTATATTAGGAAGTAAATAAACAATATATTTACATTTATAATTAAAATAGAGAATTTATATGAAATGATATAAAATTAATATTAAGATGGAGAATATATAAAAAAAATTAATTTTTATTGTAAATTTAATAAAATGAAGGATATTTTAGTAAATAATTTATCGATTTACCAGTTAATATACTCCAGAAGCTGAATGCAGCTTGTAATGGTAACATCTTTGCTGTTGGCCATATTTCAGTAGGAAAACTTTTCTTTTCATAAAAATTTTTTAATATTTCTTCTTTGTCAGACCATCTATCTTCTAACCATTTCCTTAACATTAATTCATGTGTAGGTATATCTGAAGATGGTATTCGTTTGATATAAAAATGTACTTCATGTGGTAATTTACCCCTAATTAAATCAATTTCAGATTGTGGGACATAATCAGGATAAGCTATTGTTAAGTCATATACTGCATCAAGATAATTTGCTTTCTGGAGGTGTTGTACTAGATAACTAAATCCTGTAGTTTTTGGATGTAATGTATATGTATATTGAGGTAGTTGATGTTGTAAAGCATATTTATCAGACTTCTCTTTACTAGTTTTTGTTAAATCTGTACCCTCTGGGAATATAAGTAATTGTGTACGTCTTCTTAATGCTACCACATAGTCCAGAGTACGTAATAGTCGACCTTTGTCTTCTTCCCAACGACGTGTTATATAGAGGAAGCCATTCATTTGCATTATCCATCCTGTCAAATATATTATTTTATATAACAATATAGTTTATATTATAACATTTACAATGATTTATTTTTATTTACCTGGTCCTGGGATATGTCTTATTGGATCTTTCAAAATAAATTTCAATCTATGACAAGCTATATCAGGCATACATGCTTGATACATCGCAGCCCATAAAAAGTTCCAGTCTACTCGTGTTCTGTGATTCATTACAAGTATAGCTGATTCGTTAGGAGAAATATGATCTCCTGATACAAAGATTTTTACACCAAATATCTTTAACAGTGCCTACAATAAATTTATCTAATATTCACCATGTAAAAAAAGATTAATATTAAGAAATCAATACAATAAACTCACTGTGGGATAAAGTTCCCAACAAGAAAATAGCAAATCTCCACATTTTCGAAATTTTGGAGGACTGAATAGCAAAAGTGGTAAAAGTGGACAAGCGATAAATAAGAAACCAGCTACAATACTACCATACCAAAGAGCACAGTATAACATACCACGCAATAGTCCACGCATTACAGCCTGTAAATATAATTAAATGATGCACGACCTAAGACTTTATTTTATTAAATAATATAAAAAACAAAATATTTTTCATTATTTTAATATTAATTTTAATAAATATTTCTTATAATAATATTATTATATTATTTATATTTTATTTAAAAAAAAAAAAACAATTGTTATACTTACTTTGACATATAAATTTTCCAATTGAACTATTCTTCATAGGCATTGGATGTCAACTGCTTTCTTGTGAAATATCGTTTTTCTTAGGCTTCTCTACAACCTTATTACAAGGGCTTCACTGTACCACCCTCTCTTCTTTACCCAGTATGAACTGAGTTCTGGGATGCTGCTGGACCATTATTGATCTACTAAATACAGGGCTACAATCCCCAAAGAATAACTTATAAAGTGCTATTCTCTAACATAAGTAATTAAAAAATTACTGGATATAAATTAATATTAAACTAATAAAAAGCACAGTGAGTATATGATTTAATTTTGTATTTTGTATTATATGAGATGAATACAAATATGTAAAATGTATTTGTGTAGTACATCTATCTTTAAATATATTAAAAAAATTCCCTATAAATCGATTTAATTTTCAATGTAGAATAGAAAATTGATAAAAATATATTTGTATATTTATGTACTATAGATCTATCCAAATTATATATTAATAAAAAGTTATTAAAAAAGGAGAAAATAAAAGACAAAATCATTTCATCCAAGAGAAAATTATTACTTCGTATAAATCAAATATATTATATACATTATTGATCTTTATCTAATAAATATGAAAAATATATTCAAAAACTACAAAAACTAAAGTATTATAATATATACCCCACAATTAAACATAACAGGTAAATTTACACATTTTGATACTAGAAAATATTAGCATGGTTGTAATAAAATGAATGTTTGATTTAATAAATCTATATAAAGAATTTAGATCTTGATTTCCTATATAATAAAGATGCAAAACTTATATAAAGAAAAAAAAATAATCATATGGAATTTCAGAAATTAATATATATATTTTAATATCACATATATATATATATATTTTAAAGTATTAAATATCATATAAAAAAACCATATTGGGTATTACATTTCTCAGAATTATCATATGATCATTTTTCCTACAATCCATTATTACTATGTTGTCATCTATATTCTACAGCAAGATAATTTTCACTTTTTTAGTATTCGGCTTTGTTTGTTTCAGTAATAAAGCCATAATACTATTATTATTTCGATTTTTACAATTTCCACTATAAAATGTTATTATTATCAAATCTTATTTAATTGTTTTATAATTAAATTATAAAATATTATTAGAAAATGTAAATTAAGCCGCTACACTTCAAATTCTTTTTTCAAAGATAACTTGAATATTCTTGCAATAGTTTTTTTGCTTCAGATTGTATATTCTGATCTTGTTTAGTTATGACCGTTTGTTGACAAATTTCATTTAACCAATAAATAGCCTTTTCATAATTACTTATAGCTATGTAGGATTTACTAAGAAATAAACGATTTTCTAAATGTGGTTCAGTTGCAAATTCTTCTGCTTGTTCGAAGCTTTCGATTGCTTCTTCGTAGGAGGCATTTGGAGGCTCAGAAAAGAATGTTGTTGCTACCTGTTTGAAATATAATTTTGTAATAAAATGATTAATGATATTATAAGAACAAATATAATACATCAACATAAAATATCAACAAATTAATAACGTAAAAACACACTTTTCTTTCAATCCAAGTTAAATTAGATATTTCATATCTAAATCTACCAAGTAGATGATGTAGATCAGAATCTTTTGGGCGTAGTTTTAAAGCTGTCATTACATGATTTTTGAAAACAGATCCATTTTTTATTCTTTCTGCCAATGGCAGATATTCACCATGTAAACCTATAAGAATAGCATACCACTTGTGAAGATCTGCATTTTCTACATTAATAATTTGTTCGCAAGCTTCGAGTCCTAAAAAATGAAATTGTACATAATGTCTTTAAAGGTAGATTTGTTTATTCCTAAAACTAATAGTTTACGATTAATTACAGAATTACCTTCGCTAATAATTTTCTTTTTATGTTCTATGTTAGAAAAATGATTTATATAAGTATAACAAGCATTAGCAAATCTCCATATTATGTCTACATTATTTGGATGTAATTTGGTTAATTCTTGTAATTTATAATATACGTCTTCTTCAATCTGTTCTTCTGTTTTTTCTTGTGCACGAATTTTCATAAGTTCTACTTCCAATAGTTTTATTGTTTCTGATTCCCTGTATCACTAAATATATAATCTCTTCCTTTCATGATTGACATTTATCTTTATTAATAATATGTGTGTGTGTGTGTTTGTATATAATTATGTATAATGACTATATTTGTAAGTTCAATAAAACGAATAAAAAATATTTAAATTAATAATAAAATTGTTTCTATACTATAGTATATATTGATTTTCCATAACACATAATAATGCGAATAAATTCATGTAAATTTATTAAAGATGAAATTATCTAATAATTTTAATATATATCCAACCTTAGTTCAATATCGCCTGTAGCATCTTCAGTGTCTGAACAATCAAAAAACTCATCATCAGCAATGTCAGTCCCTGCTGTAGAAAATGTATCTACATCATTTTCAGTTGAAACATATGTACTATCGTTAGAATTCAATGTATGTTTTCTACTTGCAGCTGCTGATCTCTTTTTCCTTTTTTGTTGCTGCCTAAAAAGAATTATATTTTATCATTAATATTAAACATAATATTAGTTTCTTTCGTATGATTTTGAATTCCTATAATAAAAAATATTACCTTAACGCTTCTAACTCTTCTTGCAGCTCAGCAATTCTTTGATTAACAAGTTCAAGGTTATGATTCCGTACTTTGTATTGTCGTTTCTCGATAAATTGTTGATAGAGAAACATACCAGCCACACTAATAACACCAACAGTAACTCCAATCGCAGCTGCAATTAGGGTGCTGCTTTCCAAGTTACTCATTATTCTATAATAATAAGAATTATATTACATTAATAAGTTCTATAATAATTTCTAAAAAATATTTATAAAAATTATAATACCTTGTTTTATAAGCAGATGAAAAATTAATGTATCTGCATCAACCTCGAATAATTTCTTGTTTAATTTTTGTATATTAGCCGTAGTATGCACTGCAAAGAATATATTTATATTTTTTCTAATTTAAATTTTTAAAAAGTGAGACCAACAAATAAAAATAACAAAAACATTTCTTGTGCTGAGTAAAATGGAAATAAAACTTAAGCAGCAAAATAGTCTATAAAAAAAAATGAATAAAGTTAATCGATTAATAAAATATAAATATTCTTTAATACTCTATATATTTCTTGTAAATAATTTAAGTAATTAAAAATTATATTGAATTATAGTTCAAATTGTTTATTATCAATATAAATCAATACAAAATAAAAATAAATACCACAGAAATATATTAGTATTAGCAAAAACAAAAAAAAATACATATATACTATATAAATTTACAGAATTTAAAAAAATTATGATATTACTTCGTGCTTTTAGATTTGCTGAGTTGTCACAAGTAAATACTCCATAAATGTTTAAAGTCCACGAATGTCGGCAAACCACTATTCACAGATAATTACCTGATAGAGAAGCTACAATTAATAAACAAATTATTCAATTATTTATTCAAATGATGTAGAATTATTAATTTCCTTGTTATGTTATTATTATAAAAAGGATAGAATTCTGTTATTTTTTTTTTAAATTGTTACATTAACTTACCATGTAAATTCGTACTACACAAAATTAATATTATATCCAAATCAAACTTGTGTTCTTTCTTATTATAATAGACAATGTGCTTATATTATCAAGATTTAAATTTACTAAACGATATATTTATCTATTATACGACATTCACATACATAATATGAAACATAGATTTGTCTTCATAGTTTTACTACCTCTTTATAAACATTACTATCAGAAATCTACCAGTCCTGCTCTGTTTTGGAAAACGTACTATACCCAATATTTTTGACTCGAATAATAGATATATACACATACATATACATATATATATATATATACATTTATATATATACACATATACAGTCTTTGAAATTAACTTTTACTCGTATACACTCAATTGTATTAGATTAAAATTTGATTATGTCACAAGAATATCGGTTATTTGATATTTATTCTTTCAGAATAAAAATTATGGCGAATGAACATTGTTCAAACATTTTTCAATTATTCAAACATTTAATTTTATTTGAAAGAAACGAATAGTAATTAAACGTTAAAAGTAGCACTCATTTTTTTATTTATAATATTTAATATAAACACAGATATTCAATTAGTTATTAATTAATAAATCTACAAAAATGACAAGCAGCGCCATTTTAATGTTATAAGTATTCGATAGTTTAAACTTTGACAGTTTCTATTAATTTCGACAATTTTCACTTAAATACGTAGATTTATGCGTACAATTATAGAAATTGTAATCTCTTTCATTGTATTTAAAATATATATTTATTTTACATCATATATTATATTTTGATATAATAAAAAAAAATTCTTGTTATAAATTGAAAAATATGTCGGCAGGCGAAGTTAAGAAAGAAGAACCTCAATTTATATTTCATACGTATGCTTTATGCAAGGTAAAATTTAGAAAAAAAAATGTATGTACCTTAAAGTTTTTAATTTTTAATACGTTTGCAGTTTACAGATATGCCGAATGAAATGAAACAAGAAGCTATGGAAACATGTTCTACTGCCGCGGAAAAATATGCCGATGACTATGAGCAAGCGGCACGTATGATTAAAGAAAGTTTGGACAGAAGATTTGGCGCGCCTTTTCAAGTAGTTATTGGAGAATCTTACGCTTGTGCTATAACCCATCAAGAAAATAGTTTATTATATATGTTCACGGGTGGGAATATTGCTATTCTCATTTGGAGAACAGTTAACCAATACAAATAAAATGATTTTCTATTAAAGCTGTACATCACCTTTAATTTTATAATTGTTTACGCCAACAACGAGAGATGTATTTAATAAAAGTAATAAAGACGATTTTAATAAAGAAGATTTTATTTAAAAAATGAAGGTTTTCGAACTTTTAAGAAAACTTTATTTTCTTTGAAAAAAAATCGTATCAGAAATGATGTTTTTTCGTGAATAGTTTATACATAAAAATAAAGCTTTTTAAAAAAATTCGGAAAAAAACGTATCCTTTTTTCAAGCAGTTTTCGACATTTATCGTAATAAAAAAGTTTAATGATAAAATAGCGGCAACCTTTGAATTTCGCGGCAAAAGAAAAGAAGTTTTTATCTCCATTAATAATTTTCATATGAATGCTAGAGGGGTATGCGGTTACTTTTCGTGAAGTAGGCGATTGCTTCCTTGTCTAACTGCGTAAATCGATACTCAGATTTTCTAATCCTGTCTTTGAAATAAATATTATAATTATTTAAAATATATAATATACACAAATGTATAATGTGCACAAAGTACATTAAGCTAATATTTAAACAATAGTATATATTCGTTGAAACATTATATAACTAGTAATACCCTTTAGATATAAAATAATTTCAATTTAATATTTAAACACAGTTAAATTTTGACCTCCGAATCGTAGACTATATTTAATATTAGCTATAACAAATAAGCGAAATAGTATTCCTTATTGCCCTTATAGTTCTTATTTTGTCTATACCTATCGATGAAGTCGTATATGCTACGAGTGAAAGCTGGTGAACATAATTTTATATTTTAAATTTTTTAACACTTTTTATTACAAATAAATATATTTGTATCATATATAATGTAGAAACATTATAAATATTTCTTAATAATTATATACACAGAAAACCAATTACTATTTTAACTACAATTATATATATATATATATATATATATATATATATATATATATATGTAAATATAAATTGTAAGTATTATATGATAACTTTATACTTTCATTGTATTTTTATTTTTATAAATCTATTATATCAGATATAAATCAATGTTTTTCAAAATACTTCGTGTATATTGTATAGACTGGAATAATTATAGCATTTTTGTTAATGCATTTTGTAAATATTAAACTTTATCCAACTTGAAAAAATAAGTTTTAATATAACTTATTAGCATTCATAAAATTCACAAATCGTACATACATATTAATCACATGTCAAAAAAATGATTTCTCTAATTTTTGAATAAATAAAATTATGCTGATTTCCAAATACATATTGCTAAATTACCAGCACAATACATGTATAACAAATGTTTTAATTGATACGTTATTTCAAATCCATAACCTTCACCGACAACCGTATGCCACGAAGCTCCAAATTTTTTATCCATCGTTTCTTTGATCATTCGAGAAACACTCTCATAATTATCGGCATATTTTTCTGCAGCTGTCACGCATAATTCCATAGCTTCTTGTTTCATCTCATCAGACATATCGCATTTCTATGAACAAACGTATTTTATCATACTTGTTATAAACATTTTATGCATGTAATTAACATAATACAAGAATTATGAAATAAAATAAAAAAATTAAAATTCTTAGGAAAACAAATATACAAATGAAAAACCTTGCCTGTGTACCAGGCAGAAGTTTGACTTATTGATCAAATGCCTTAAATTTTATTTTTCGTATAAACAGCATATTTTGCATATTGAACGATCATTACTCACTCTGCAGAGTGGATAAGTGTGTAGAATTTTGATAACGTCGTCTTTTTTCACTTCTGTCATTCTGAAAATTATCTAATACATTCAGAAACAACTCCAAATAGAACGATACCCGATTTGTTACGAAATAGAATGGTTGCCATTTGCCAGGCGTACGCATGCTTATAAATAGAGTAAGTCATTGTAGGAGGGGGAAATTGTTTTGGTCCTATCTTTTTACGTCTGAAATTTCCTTCGATTATCGTCTGATATATTAAGTTTTATAGGCTAGCTATTTATATTTTCATTAATGAATTGTGAAGAATTCATATAATAATAAAATATTTGAAGATGGCATCACGATTCAGTGGTACTTTACAAATTACAAATTTAGATGATTTTATTACTCCATCTCAGGTAAACGTTCGATAAAAAAAGAAAAATAAATATTTATTTTAATTTTATTACTATCTTTAGAAAATTTAATTTGTTTAGAAAAAAAAAAATTGTTCAATATAAATTTTTGTAGGAATGCATAAAGCCAGTTGAAATCAAAACATCTAAAAGCAAAACAGGTGCCAAAATAAAAATTGAAGAAGATGGAACTTATTATTCATTAAAAGAGGTATAATTGTTTTTAATATAAATATTTCATTATAATTACTTATAATTATTTATAAATGTATTAGACAACTTTATGTATTTACTATACCTGATATCTTATAGAATAATATTCCAGAAAAATTGGAGAAAGTTGAAATTACGTTAGCAGATTGTTTAGCATGTAGTGGATGCATTACTTCTGCTGAAAGCGTATTAGTTTCGCAACAATGTCCTGAGGATCTTTTAAGAGTTTTTCAAGAGAAAGTAGAACAGCAACAGGTAAATAATTCTATAAATAGTAAAACTAGCAGCAATTTATGTATTGCAAATGTATTTTTAATGTTAATTTTTTTTATTTTTTCTCATAGAATGAGAAAAATGGGTGTGCAACATTTATAGTAGTAAGTTTATCTATTCAACCAATATTGTCCATGGCGCAACGTTATGAATTAAAACCAGAACAAGCTTTACACAAGCTTGCTGGATACTTTTACAAGTTAGGAGCAGATGTAGTTTTAGATATGAGTATTGCTGATGATTTTGCACTTCTAGAATCTGCAAAGGAGTTTGTTGAACGTTATAAAGTTGCAAAAGAAGGCACTGAAAAACAATTACCAATGTTAGCATCTTCATGTCCAGGTATGCTTTTTTTTAAGCTCTTTGACTTTTTTTCAAATATAATTTTTCTTGGAAGATAAAATATTTTGTTTATAGGTTGGGTATGTTACGCTGAGAAGACTCATGGTCATTTTATTTTACCATATATAAGTATAACAAAATCACCACAGCAAATTATGGGATCATTAGTTAAGTATCATTTAGCTGAAAATATGGGTCTTTCACCAGAACAAGTATATCATGTTACTGTTATGCCTTGTTATGATAAAAAATTAGAAGCCTCTCGAGAAGATTTTTATAATCATGAAAAGAGTACCAGAGATGTGGATTGTGTTATTACATCAAGTATGTCATTTTTATATCATATATATAATATATATATATATAATAATTCTTATTTATATCAAATTTATTTTTAGTTGAACTAGAGCAAATGCTGAATGAAAGTCATTTAACTTTGAGTGACATAGAAGATGGAGAAATTAAGCAACCTTTTGGGTTATGTAGGGACAAAACAGATAATGACTTATGGAGTCATAAAGGATCTGGATCTGGTGGTTATGCTGATTTCATTTTTCATTATGCTGCAAAGCATTTATTTGATGAAAATGATGTAACACTAGAATTTAAACATCTGAGAAATCCTGATTTCCAAGAAGCAGTTTTAGAAAAAAATGGAGAAGTATTATTAAGATTTGCAATAGCAAATGGATTTAGGAATATACAAAACCTTGTCCAAAAATTAAAAAGAGGAAAATGTCCTTATGATTATGTGGAAGTTATGGCATGTCCTTGTGGTAAGTTGTAATTTATAACTGAAATGTTTTATTCATTTAATAAATGTTTTAATACGTTTAAATATTAGGATGTTTAAATGGTGGTGCACAAATAAGGTCTCAAGATAATATTCAACCTCGAGAACTTGCATTAAAACTTGACGCTATGTATCATGATTTATCAATGAGTATACCTGAAGAAAATCTAGCTGTACATAAATTATATAAAACATGGTTGGGTGGAGAAAATACAGATAAAGCTGCAGCTTATCTTCATACACAATATCATGCAATAGAAAAAATGAATACAGCTCTTGCAATTAAATGGTGATGTATATTATTGCAAAAGAAAAACTATATATGTATATATGTATATGTAACTGTTACTTTCATTAATACATGTATTGAAATATTATATATTCTCTTTTTTGCTTCCACTTAATATATAATAATAGATAATTACAATAGTTAAATACATATATAATAATTTAAATTAAAAAATGTACACAAAGATATAAGAGAGGATGAAAACATTATTTAATACAATATTATACTTTTTGTTAAATATTATGTTATTGTGTTGTTTGCTAACCAATAACGAATTAAATGAATTTTATTTTTAGAACTTGACAATAATTTAATAAATATTTATTAAATGAATAGAACATGTTCTATAGAACATATTTTAATATATAAAATAATTTTCTTATTAACTAAAGATTTATTATAGCATTGGTATTTGTATATATAAAAATTGTCGGTATATGATTGTTTATTGAATTTACATAATAGTAAAATCACACTTTTTGAAGTGGACAGATTGTCTTCATTAAACACATCTGATTTCATAATATTATATACATTTATAAATTAATAATAATTATATTATTTCAATAATATGTAATCATAAAATATGTAAATATACAATAATTATTAATAACTTATTATAATTATATATTTATTTATGAGGCCATACTTTTACCTAGATCCAATATTTAAAAAAATGAAATATCGAATATCGTAATTTAACATAAATAACATATATAACATATATAATTCACAACTAAGGTTTTATCAACATTTTAAAAACTGTCCCTTTTTTTAAGCAATTTAAATATATTTATATTTTGATATCAGTTGAGATAGTTATTTTGGTCTTTTTTTACATACAATAGTTATAAATTACTTTTTATCAAACATTAATTTCCATGTAAAATAAACTATAGTAAATGCAATTCAATTATCTTGGCATCTGTAGAATAATTTTTTATTATAGTTATGAAAGGATTAGTTAATGCTTAAATTTTATTCTATGCTATTATTTCAGTTATATGAAGACAATTTTTAATCCATAAAATCTTGCATTTCTCTATCTGTATAACATAGAAAATAATTTATTTGTATAAATGTGCAAAATTAAAAACTACACACAATGTCAGCTAATAATATATATATAATATAAATAATAATATAAATATTAAATATTTATTTTAGCATTTACGATAACAAAAAATAAATAAATAATCTTTCATCAATAACAAAAATCCTCTAATGCATCTTTGGAAAAATATAGTACTTTTTGTATATAATCATAATTTAAGAGCAGCATAAATTTCAAATTTTTAGCACAAACAGTTCTTTTGAACTTTCATCAAGTGCATCACGTACAAGCTTTAATAATACTCATGTGTTATTAGTTAGAAATTCAAATTATATATTCAACAGTCTCAGTGTATTAAGATATTTGTGTAAATATAGTCAGAACTACTACCTTGTAGAGTTCTGTGCAAAACATTTATTAACTCTAACTAATTTTTCTTCTGATAATTTTCCTTATAGTTTGAAAAATCCATTGATCATTTGCCTTAATTCCATCCTTCATAAATTATATTTCTCAATAATATCACACTTTTAATATTGAGTAAAAATTATCTAGTATTTTTATTACATATTAATTCCTCATTTTCATTCATTTCTTTAGATTCTGATTTCTTTACATCTATATCTGATGGATAACCATCTTCAATATACCTGATTGAATCATGATCAGTATTATTATCTTCTTTAATTTCATATGGTTCCATTAACCATCCTTGATTATTATCTATTTCTCTAGAGACAACAAGAAATAATTCCTTTTCCTTACTGTCTATTTGGTCCTTGAGATATATAAGTAATTCATTATCCTGCATAAAATAAATAATTTCATAATTTTCAGAAATATAAAAATATGATCTTTCATTTATTTCTTATGATTTTATATTTTATATAAGTAAATGTAATTTTTAAAACTCACTTTTCCTATAAGTTGTGGTGTATCTAACTTTGAATCTAAATTATAAAAGGCACCATGAATTTTTTTCAAGGCAATCCAGTGGCGTCTTTTCAATGGGAGTAACACAAAACCCAATTTATATTCTGTTGGAACATTTAATATAAAACCTTCAATTTTGTCAAGGCAAAGACACTTTGGATCTCTGTAAATGTAGATATTTATATAGAATCATTAACATAATAATATTAATAAGATTTTGAAAGAGTAAAATATATTAAGTAAAGACTACAGCAATCAATATTTACTTGCGTTTATCAAACCAAACTGCTTCACGGCCTCTTCGTTGTAATGCAGCCATAATAACATTAATGTCATAATTTCCAAGTCCTAATAAAGATTTGTGAGGATTAATCCACACTGCAGGACTTAAGCTATAACAAATTTGATCTAATTCTTGCTTACTAAAACCTCGTTCTTGAAATAAATTATTTAATGCATGTAGAGCACAAAGCTCTTTTACCTGTAATCGAAAATGATTGATGATATTACTAAATAATTATTTCCAATGTTATGTAAAAAATATATTATTTACTTGTCTTTCATGGTAAATAGATCCAGTCATATCACTGCCTGTATTTGCCACCATCGTAACTACATAATTTCGTTGATATACCACAAGGAAATTTTATTAAGTTTTATAATATAAATGAAAAATTAATCAGTTGAATATCACTGATGGATTATTTATTTATAACCTCTGTGCATTTGACAGTTCTGTAAAATATTTACGTATATGGTAGAATATTATACTTCGTTTATTTTCATTGGGTATCTTTTAAATAGTGATATATATAATTCGGATCGCATAATATTGTGATAATATTCTTTTCTGATTGGATAACTTCGTTGACGCGGAGAACGATCCAATCTTTTTTTGTTATATAATTTCATCGCACTCTCATGTACAATAATTGTAAAGTATATAATGGAATTACGTACTTTTTTTATTTCAAGTAATATAAATTTATTGATATTTTTTTCTTTATTATAATATTAAAATAATTTCAATTTTCTTATTAGTAAAGAATAAAAATGGAAAAAGGCATTCGGTACATTGATATCCATTGAAAATGCTCCTTTATGTTGAATTGTAAAATGTCGTACACTAGAAAGTTTATATGATTCTAAACGATTTAATGATTCGAATCATTGCTATTTACAAACAGAACATCTATTAGGAATTGTGTATTTATCAAGAAAATAATAAATAAAATTTACAATTACCTTTGAAAAAATAGTGCTTTGTTGACCTTCGTGTTAACACAAATAATCATAGAAAGGCGCTGATTTTTTACTTTAACATTGTGCATCTGAAGTTTAAAGTGTAGTATCACGCAATCATTGACAACTCATTTCGTAACTTTGCAAGTGTCAACATGTCAGTTTCCTTTGGTTTCTTCTAAATCCACATTTAAAATGAATTAGTGTAGGTATTCAATGTTGTTTGTAACTTATAAATATTATCCAATTAAATTCAAGTTGATTTCAATTATAAACATATATTTCAATTACTGATATGTGACTATTAATGCATAAAGTTCCATTGTTGAACCTACAATATGTTCTCCTTCATATGTTTCATCAGTCATTTATTGTAAAATTGTATCCTGCAAATATTTTTACTAATTATAATCATATCTAATCATTTTACGTTTACATAAAATAAATGTTCAAATATAAAATAATTGGAAATAATTATTTAAACATTATAAAAATGTAACTTTCTATAATATAAGAAGTAGAAAAAATTATTAAAATTATTTGCACAAAATAACATTATATATAAAAATACTATTATAATATAAATTTTATATCAATATTAATAGTTATTAAAGTTATATTTTTTATTAGTTTAATTAAATGATAATTTTGTACAAGAAGCTATATCTATTTTAAAATTACTGTGAAAATTTTTTCAAACATTAATAATACTTATTTATTAATTTGTACAGGTACAAGTTGAAGAAAAATAACAATTGGATTTATCTTACTGATAAAATTTTTAATGTGAAATGAAATATCCTGATTAAAAAAAGATTGATTACTTTGTATTGAAAAAATATTTCAATAAATTTTTAACTTCTTGAAAATTTTAAATATAATACATTTAAAAAATAATACAATGTTATATAACTGATATATATCAAGTGCTGATAGAATCAAAAATTTTTGTGTATATCAGTTATGCATAGATCTAAATTAATAATCTATAGAAGAAGATTTGGATTTAAATATTGGAAAATGATTGATATGTATATGTGTACATGAAACAATTTCAAAACTGAATATATCTAAATTGATAAATATAAAATCAATTTATTATTAATTCATAGTAAATCGATCATTCCTAAAAAATGTCAGGTTCTGCTTCAATTATAACGTCTACTCTTGCGCAACCTTCGGAGAAGGAACATGCATCTACAACTATGATAGATTATTCAAGTATCAGAGGAAAGGTATATCATTCAAATCTTACAAAATTTATAGTTAGCAAATATAAACTTTCTAAAAAATAAATTGTTTTAAATTATAGAATGTATTAGTTAGTCCATCGGAGGATCAATATGAGCTACTACTTAAAAGACTAAAAGAAAGAATTCATGATGGTGGAAGTGAAACAATATTTGATATTGGTATTGCAGAAGGTATATATCTATGAAATACTTATTTTCTTTATCGAGCTATAGAAAATTGTAATAAAAAGTTAAATAATGAACACATTGACGTATATTACATCACTATTTCATCATGTTTGTAGATGGTTCAGAGGATGGATTAAAAGAAGATGAATATGAAGCATCAGTAGCCACTTTACAATCACTTGCTGCTACATTAGAAGCTGATTGTGTACTTCTACGTCAAAGTAAAGTAGATCATGGTTTAACAGGACAATACCTTGTACGAAGGCGACTAGATCTGCAAGACTTTCTAGAAATTAGGTTTCTAAAATATTAATTTAAATAATAATCTATTAAAAAAGAATTAATTTTATTGTAAAATTTAATGAAATACTACTAAAAATGTTAAAAATATGTTTTCTTTTAATGAAATCTTTTAGAGTTGCTGTTGTTGGCAATGTGGATGCAGGAAAATCAACACTTTTAGGAGTATTAACACATGGAGAATTAGACAATGGAAGAGGTTTAGCTCGTCAAAAATTATTTCGTCATAAGCATGAAGCTGAAACAGGACGAACCAGCTCTGTCGGAAATGATATACTTGGATTTGATAGTGTTGGTATGTATTAAAATTAATTTTTTTATCATTTGTGTTTCAAAATGATCATATGACAATGTATTTGCATTTCAGGAAATGTTGTTAATAAACCAGAACATGGTTCTTTAGATTGGGTAAAAATTTGTGAGAAATCATCTAAAGTTATAACGTTTATTGATCTTGCTGGACATGAAAGGTATCTCAAAACAACTGTGTTTGGAATGACTGGACATGCTCCAGATTTCGGTAAGTTTCGTTAATATAATTAGTTCAATGTTTCCTTATTAAAACTATTTTGTATTTAAGGTATGTTAATGGTTGGAGCAAATGCTGGTATTGTTGGAATGACTAAAGAACATTTAGGATTGGCTTTGGCTCTTTCGGTACCTGTATTTGTAGTAGTTACAAAAATTGATATGTGTCCACCAAATGTATTACAAGAAAATTTAAAATTGCTTATAAAAATACTAAAATCACCTGGCTGTAGAAAAGTTCCAGTCATAGTAAAAACTCCAGATGATGTTGTTGTTAGTGCAACTAATTTTGTATCAGAACGGTTAGTAAATTTAATATAAGTTACAGAAACCTATTACAATAAATTATAAATGGTATTTTTACATCTTAATTTGTATTAAAGAATATAAGAAATGTCAATATTTTTACTTTTTTTATAATACAGATTATGTCCCATTTTCCAAGTATCTAATGTGAGTGGAGAAAATTTAGATCTTCTAAAAATGTTTTTAAATCTTTTGACTGCTAGAATAACTAGTCATGATGATGAACCAGCAGAATTTCAAATTGATGATACTTATTCTGTACCAGTAAGTTCCCAAGAAGTATTAAAAATAATTTCTTTTATTATTCTCATTAAAAAATTTGAAATATTTTTAAATAATATTAATTTAATATACATTTACTCTTTTCTAACACAATTTCTGTAATCCTTAGGGCGTTGGTACTGTAGTGTCAGGTACAACTTTGAAAGGTGTAATAAAATTAAATGATACTTTATTATTGGGGCCTGATCCTTTAGGACATTTTATACCTATTACTGTAAAAAGTATCCATAGAAAAAGAATGCCAGTTCGTGAAGTAAGAGGAGGTCAAACAGCGAGTTTTGCTTTGAAAAAGATAAAAAGATCACAAATTAGAAAAGGGATGGTGATGGTTGCACCAGCTTTAAATCCACAAGCTTGTTGGGAATTTGAAGGTGAAATCTTGGTATTACATCATCCTACAACGATCAGTTCTCGATATCAAGCAATGGGTAAATTATTATTTTTATATTACTTTGTATAATATTCATAACAGGAATAGCTATTTTATTTTGCATTTATGAAATTGTGTCAATATTTCTTATTTCATTATATGTTATAGTTCACTGTGGCAGTATAAGACAAACTGCTTCTATTATCTCAATGTCTCAGGATTGCTTAAGAACAGGAGATAAAGCATTGGTACACTTCAGATTTATAAAACATCCTGAATATATAAAGCGTGGTCAACGAATAGTTTTCAGAGAAGGTCGAACTAAAGCAGTAGGAAATGTATCAAACCTTATTCCTCACTCTAATACTATGAGCACACAAATATTCAGAATTAACAAACCAAATAAATCACAAGGCAGATTGAATAATTCTTCTCTCAATCAAGTAAGATTACGACTGCAAAAGCATAGATAAATATTGGAGTGTAACATTTATGGCCATTCTTTTCATTATAATTTTTTTGCTTTCAGTCACAAGAATTAAATGAAACGAGTTCAGCATTTGAATATCAGAATGCAAAACAAGAAAATATGCCACAAAAATCTGGCACAACACAAAGTAAAAAAGGTAGAGGTCGAAGAGGTAGATCTCATAATCTTATCAATGCTAGTATACAACCTTTGTCAGAGCAAAACCCTCCCACAAAAATATAAGATATATTTATATACAAAGTATATATATTGATTTAGAGGAAATCTTTAATGTTTTAGAATAGATTGATTTTTTAGATAAACATTTCTCGATAATGTTTATATAGTTTGAAGCAAGATTACTGTTTTGAAGTCTTTCTTTCTTATAAAAAAAGAAAAAAAAAGAAAAGAAAAAAAGCAAATTATTTCTTAAGACTACTTTAAACTAGTAAAAAAAAAATAAATAAATAAAAGAAAATAAAATATAAATTTAAAATTGAAAGTTAATTTTCATAGCAAGAAGTACGAACTAAATAACAGATTTACTAAATTTTTACTTTTTAAATTAAAGATTGCCTTTGTTATAACTATTTACCAAATTTAAATCGCCACAAGCATGTCTGCACTATTGCACAAATTCTATTGAAATATTTACAATATTATTTTCAGTGAAAACAAAATGCTTTTTGCAGATTAAATATTATTTTGATTATATATGTAATTTTTATTCAAATTATTATTTATATGAAATGTATAATTGTAATCTTCAAAAAGAAGATTGGAAAGACAATCAATGTGAAAGAAAGGAATTTTATAATATTAAAATTCAAGTTTGAATTATACGAATAAATCGACATCTTGCTTGTATTTTGCCATTAAAATAAAAATAAATATTAACTTAGAATTACACATTCTTTATTTATATTTTTGCATATATAAATGTGATTGCTAAATAGTGCTATTTAAAACTTCAGTATTTAGTATTTACAAACTGAACTATATTTTTTTTAAATTTAATAGATTATTATATACATAAATTATGATTTTATTTTAAGATGATATTAAAAATAACTAAAATCGAAAATAATGGAAGACATGCTTGTATGTAAAAGCACATTGAATGCTAAAGTGCATTTCAATATATTTTTAAATTTTAATGTTATTTTGACATAGCAAATAATGATGAAAAAATGGACCAAATAATTTATTGAAAAATTCAATATTTTTTCTTTGTTACAAAATTTCTATCAAACTGACCTTACTACCAAAGTGATCTCTTGATGAAAACAGAAGCTATTAAAATAAAGATTATTATCATAGAATTATTGAAAAAATAATAACCTGTACTTTCATAAATCTTATAATTTAATAAATACAAATAAATAAAGTTTAATAGAAAAATTCGAAATATAAATTAAAAATTATAGAGAGGATAACTTGTAAATTTATTTAATTAAAAATAACAAATACGTAAAATACTCTTTATAATTTAATTTATTTTATTACGTTTTTATTATTTATCTTATCTTTTTTTATTCGTAAATACATAAAATATTCTTTATAATTTATTTTATTTTATTAGATTTTTGTTATTTGTTTTATCCTTTCTTCATTCAATTTTTCATTCAAAACTTTTATAATATTACTCACTTTCAAATATAAAATCGCGGAATTTTTTTTTATTATATGTATAAATATTTACCTTATTAAGGCAATGGTACTGTCTTTGTATCTGCTATAGAACTCGTTTTATAACAACAATAAACAAATTTTTTCATTTATTATAATCAAATATATTTATTAATCAAGACTACATGGAAATTACTGAACTATATCATTGACAAGAATTTTTTTTTATGTCAATGATAATAATTTTACTATCTTTAGAAATAGACATTATCATTAAATGCTATTAAGTTCCTATAAGAAGTATACATGTAATCATATATTTATTTCTTTTTGGATTCTTTAACTTGTTTTAGTTCATTTTTTATATTATTTGCTAAATTTTTTAATATTTTTAAAGCTTCTGATGGAGATTTTAATTTATATGCACTATTTACTTTTCCTGTTTGTGAAAATAAATAAACCACTAATTTGGCACCTTGTCTAATTGGTTTAGAATCTGCTAATTTATTGATTAATTGCTCATTATTCATTAAGTATCGCATAAGAAAACGTATAAAACCCATGTTGAGTAGTTTTCTTAAAAACGATTTGCTATAGTAAAAATCTATATATTTATATCTTGGGTACTTCAAATGTACACATATTACGATATTTCAATAAAAGTTCACGCTTGAGCCGAAGCTGCTTACGAAGTGTTTCAAGTTTTTGTAACTGTTCTTCTTTACTATATTCTATTCCTGGTAACCGTTTAATCTAGAAGACAAAAGACTTTCTCTTAAAAAAGAAAATATGTTTTTAATAATATCTCTAAAGGAATTAATTTTATATAGACTAATCATTTAGGATAAGTTCTTTATATTTAAGAACTATCTATCCCATTTGAATATTGCAATCAAGACAATAAATGTATATACATAAATTTTTGTTTAAAAATAGATATAATATATAGACATGCACTGCAAGACTAGAAAATCTTTATAGAGTAAAACAAGATACACTTACAAAGTATTTATTACCTGAGCTCTTGCAGAATCCAATTTTTTTTGTAATTCTAATATTTTATGACTAGTATCTTGTGATTCTTTTGCTTTTTGAGTTGTATCATGAGGATCTTTCTCCACACTGGAGGGAATAAAATAGTCATTGTAAATTGAAATAAAATAATAATTATATATGAAATAATAAACCGACTTATATAAAAATATATTGTCACTGAGTTTTAAAATTAACCAACAAGTAACTATATTGTGGTTAAATATTTTTCAGTGCATTTCCCATAACCTCTAATAAAATTTATTTAAAAGTAACTTATAAGTATTATGCGAAATATTTGATCACTGGTAGCATAATAATACAAATTAAATAATTAATTTATATGTAACAAATCTCATGTAAAATTATTTCAACTTACTTAAATATACATATATAAATAATATTCGGATATACAACACGCTTACGTAGCTACTACGAAACTGACAACCCGCGCAGTAACTAAAATACATACCTTCTTAATATATCATAAATAAGTGGTAGTATCTCAATATCTAAATCATCAACTGTAAATGAACTTCTCATAGGACTTTCTTCTGTTAACTCTGAAGTTTCCATGATATAATAAAAACATAAAAATTTACATTTTATATGATAGTACTCTTGAATTTTTCATATTTCATATATGTACAATCACAATATATGAAACACAATAATTACAGGATTAATTGTATCGACACTCCTTTGAATTATGATCTTACTCTGACATCCCTTTAATAAATGAATCAAATTTTTCTAGAAGCTGATCTAACAAAATTGACAATACAACGCAAAGAAAGAGAAAATGGTAAAGTCTTGGAATTTCAAATTATCGATATCTATTAACTATTGGTTGAAATCTATTGGGTCTAGAGAATAACGCTTTCATGAAAACTGACACATTAATCGATTCTTTGGTTACAACCAACTTCACGAAGCTTTCTGGAGGAATGTTCATGACATAAAGGTGTTCTTCCGTCTTTCTTGTTTAGCCACATTGTACGTCGGTAAGATTGTGTTATTACTTATTGGGAATAATCAAGTGGCATCGTTGAATATATTATATATTTTACAATTAATTTTTATGTAAGCTTATTTGATATATATTTATATGAAATATTTTAATATTTTGTATTTTATTTTTATAGTTAAAGACGAAAATGGGGCGCCGACCAGCTAGATGGTATGTAATAATTTATAGACATTGTAACATATTTTTGTTAATAAAAGCATAATTTATCTTTAATGTAATTTATTAATAAAATAAATAAGATGATTTAGAAATAAGATTGGAATTAATATATAGCGTATTATGTGTACAGTTTTTCTAAAAAAAAAAATATTTTTTAAATATATTATAAATAATATTATATTCTGTTTCAGTTATCGATATTGTAAAAACAAACCTTATCCTAAATCAAGATTTTGTCGTGGTGTACCAGATCCAAAAATCCGTATTTTTGATCTTGGAAAGAAGAAAGCTTCTGTCGAGGATTTTCCATTATGTGTACATTTAGTGTCTGATGAATATGAACAGCTTAGTTCAGAGGCACTTGAAGCAGGTAGAATCTGTGCCAATAAATACATGGTTAAGAATGCTGGTAAAGATCAGTTTCATATTCGTATGAGGCTTCATCCTTTCCATGTCATCCGTATTAATAAAATGTTATCATGTGCTGGAGCTGATAGGTAAATAAATTTCATTTATACAGTTAAATATTTATTTTGCTGAATTATAATTTTTAATCAAAGTTTATATAGAAGTTAAATTATACAAAGAAAAAAAAATCTTTATAGGCTCCAAACTGGAATGAGAGGAGCTTTTGGTAAACCTCAAGGTACTGTAGCTAGAGTACATATTGGACAACCTATTATGAGTGTGCGTTCGTCAGATCGGCATAAGGCTGCTGTAATTGAAGCATTACGTCGTGCAAAGTTCAAGTTTCCTGGTCGTCAGAAGATTTATGTATCTAAGAAATGGGGTTTTACTAAATATGACCGTGCTGTATATGAAGAATTAAAAGCATTTGGTCGTCTTGCTCCAGATGGTTGTAATGTTAAATATTTACCTGAGCATGGACCTCTTGAAGAATGGAAAAAATTCAGGAAAGTTCTTGCTACAGCGTAAATAAGATTTTTGGAATTCAATTTAAATAAAAAAGAGAGAAGATTTTTTATTGTAATAATTTCACCCATGAATCTAATGAAACATATAATGAAGTTGCGAAATTTTAAACAACAAAAAATTATAAACACCGTTTTTAGTAATTAAAAAAAAGAACAGTTTTATTTAATGATACATTATTTTAAAATACTGATTTACATAAAGTTATATATTTACAACGATCGATCAATAACTAAACTAAAATACTTTGAAATAGTATCTAATAAAATGATAAATAAATTACAATATATACATAATAAAATATGATGATTTCTAAAGAGAGCATAATGCACAAATGTGTTTAAAAATAATTATATCCTGCAGAAATTCGAGATTCTATAAATTAATGAGAGTGACATGTAATATCATTATCATCATTTTCAGTATTTTGTATCTCATCATCAATGTCATCACATATTCTGTGATTATGAACATCTAAAACTTCAGTACTGGTTGCTGCATCTAACAGTGGAGATAATTTTTCTGCTTCACTATCTTCGTCTTGCCCTTGGCCCTGTAAATACTAATGTATATGTTTGACATAAACAGAAAATTTTACCTACTATACAATTCTGACACTATAAAAAGCAAAACCGACTTTAAATTATCATATGCATGATGAATGAATAAAAAAATTCTACAGTTGTAAGACTTACTTCATACAATGAAACAGGTTGTTTTTCATTTACTAATCTGAGAGTATCACGTGATCTTAAACCGGATTTATCACGAGAATGCCCAGATTTAGTTCTTACTGCAGGAGATCGAGTATGTAGATCTTTTTGTGATCCTGAATTTTCATCCCTTGCAAGAAGAACTGACATTCTAAATTCTGGAGTGGGACATGGAGTGCCACTAGTTCTAGCACTCATATCTACATCCTTTGAAGACAAATGCTTTGAAATGGGTGTACGTTCGGCTGATCTGCAAAATAATATTTTCAATTGAATAAACTGCTAATAAATTTTGTATTATATCATTTTTTAAATATAGATTGACGCATCTAAATATACCTATTCAATGCTTCTGCAGCCTGAATAGCACTTGCTGTATCTGTATCTGGTGTATCAGGAGATTCAGGTGCAAGAACAGCAGTTCTTGGTGTATATGGACCATTTAAAGCTTCTATAAGCGATACTGCTTCGTAACCTGCTGGAATATTCTCGCAACTACCCTAGAAGTTTAAAAACATTCATTTGTATCTTATTAAAAGTTATATGGCTTGTAAAAAACATAATATTACCTCGGGTATTGGTGGATTGGATATAATAGTTCCAGTTGCTTTTTGAAGTGCTTTAATTTGTAAAAGAGCTCGAAATGGAGCACGACATATGGGACAATTATTTGCTTGATACCGAAGGGAATCTGCACAGCCATTGCACAAACACAAATGTCGACATGGTAAAATTAAGGTATCACGTACATCACACATACAAATTACACATTCAGAACCATTATCATCCGTATCTTCATCACTGCCTTGTTGCTGTACAATAATATTTTCTGATGATAAAAATGAGCAGAATACCTCTAATTAATAGACAGATATCAATGTATTTATTACCTTTGCGCTTTCAGTGTTTTTATTTTCAATTCCATAAATTTCTTGCAACAAATAACAAAGTCCATCTACATAAAGTTTTTGCTTAAGTGCTTTTAATACATATGTTCCATCTGAATGTTTTTCAACTACAGCAATAGTTGTGTGAGACTGTTTTGGTTCATCTGATCCTTCTTCTGCTATACAATAGATTGCTATTGGAATAATCTGTTAATGTAAGCATAAAAGATCATAAAACAAATAAAATGTGAAATAACTTTTTTGTATTTTAAAACATTACATTTGTAATACATACTTCTCTATCTGCATTGTATATTAAATCTTCTTCATTATAAAGACTTGGATCAAATATATGAGATGTTTGAGAGAACAATTGATTAGCACCCTTTTTATAATGATATGTTTCAGAATTCATAGAAGGATCTCTTGGTACATATCTATAAATCATAAAGATATTTTGTTATATATGATTTTAAATCATTATTAATATTATATCCACTTTCTATCATATAAAAAGTTGAACATATATTCTTTTGATATATATAAAATAATACATACGTAACCCCTTTTGTTGTAACTTCTTCTGTACAAAAATAATATATTGTGATAGCACACCTTACATCACAATCAAAAGTAAATTCAATATTGAAACGATTTGGTTTTTTGTCACCATCACTATCACCGTAACGTTTTACATTATGACACTGAGAAGACGTTGAAGTTTGATCCACATTTCGTACTAATCTTAATGATTCTTTTCTTATATTTACTAAACTTTTTAAGGTTTTTGTAGGATCATTTGTTTGTGGTGGAGGATATGGGAACTGTAACATATATCTTTTACTTGATATATTGTTAATTGTTAATAATTTCTATGAAATAAATTTAATTCTTCATACAGGTGTCGGTCGACTGCCTAAGAAATTTAAATCTGCATTTTCTCCAAAGAGGTATGCTTCTGGTTGTGGAGTATCGAACCTTTCACCACCCATAATAAAATGACTACCAAAATAGCTTCCTAATATAAAGATAATTTATAATTATATTATATATAAATTTATCTATTAAATCATAAATAAATGATTGATAACTGTTTTGCGTAAGGTATATATAAATAAATAATCTCATAAAATCAATAATAAATAAATACTCTATGTAAATATATACTCTATATAATTTCATTGTATTTTATTTTAGTAATACTTAATCATTAGTAGAAAGACAAAGAACATGTATATTATACTAACCAGAACGTGGAGGATATTTATATGCGTGGTTTGAAACAATATCAACTTCTTCTACACCAGCATTTTGTCTGCTTGTTAATGATCCCATTATTTTATTATATGATGCTGTCAAACAAATAGAAATTCGCGGTAATATTAAGTGATACTAAATTTGAAATATTATTTAAATTCCAATAATTTATAAAACGTTGTAATTTTTAAGTTTTTGATAGTATTTAATCAAAATACAGTTATTCGATTTGTAGTTTCATATTGTCAAACGAAAAATTCTATACCACAGAATTGACAGACAGTTTCTCTGTGGATAAATCTTAACAAAATCTAGATCATTCTCCATAGATAAAAGATGAGGTAAAGAAACGAATTTAAGGTATAACTGTATACTTGAAGATTATGTCAAATTTTATTTGTTTATAGATAATATATAAATACAATTATATATATATAGATTTTAGATGTATTTAAATATATATTATACAACTGTTATTAATTTTATTTGACTTGAATTATTATTATATTTTATTATAAAATACAATTTCATTTATCACAAGTAAAGGCTGTTTTCAAATTAACGCGCGATTTTATCAAGGTTTTTGAAAGTCTTTCTACATTTATAGTCAATGCTGCAGCTATGTTTTCATCTCACGTGACCAAGCATTAAAGTTGCGACTACATCAAATATGTATGGCCTATATACCTTTTAAAACAGTGATAGATTTTGAATATTGTGATTGTTTTGTTTCTATTTACAAGTACTTATTATAAAATAAGAATAGAGCACAACAAGTGTTATTATATCTTTGTCTAAAATGAAATGTCAATATTTGTCAAGCTTCAATATAAATTACAATATATAAGAAACAATTTCATTTAAGTACAATAATGAATAGAGAATTTTTAATTGCGATATAAAATATATGAAAATATTATTAACAGCATAAAAGATATTGGTCTACAAGATAAAAGTTGCAATTAATAATTAATAATGATTGACACATTCAACTAACAACATGGCGAATGTATCAACAGAAATAGTATATTCGAGTATTTTAGTGTTATTGTATGATGAATAAGAAAAATGCAACTCTATCGATTACATTCAGTAATTGGATTCTTTAAAGACGTCTATAATATTTTAATTCAAATATAAACATTATATTGTATATAATACGTCTTTGCATAGTCCTATTATATTTAAGATTCTTTTAAAATTATTTATGAAAGAAAAATGGCATTATTAAATAATTGACATAAAAAAGTATCATGATGTTATATATAAACAAGTTAAATGTTTTTATGAAGATTCACATTCAATATAGTGATACAAACTTCGTTAAATAAATGAAGAATAATGTAAATTGTTTCTTTTATCTGTATTTAATTAATTTTATCTACGGAATTATAAAACGAAGAATAATAAAGTGTAGTAAATATACAAAGAATAACAAAGTGTTGTACTGTGGGGTGTAATGAGTGGATCTGGTTTTCGAGGACGGGGGATTGAACCACGGGGTATTCATCCAAATGGCCCAATTGGTGCTTATCGTGGGACCCGCTTATCTCACCCGCGTTTTAGTCATCCCCGTTTGTCCCATAACAGATTACCAACATCAGAGAATTGGTCAGGAAGATCAAATCATGGCTCATCTTTTTTATCTTGGAGCAAAGGAAAATATCAACGTCCTATTTTTCGTGGTATATCCCACTTTCGTCCCAATGGCAGAGGAAGGGGTACAATTCATAGGGGAAATTTACATTTTCCAGATTCTAATAGGCCATCCATTGTGCCATATTCCACAGATTATAATAAAAATGTTGGAAGTCCTAAAACAGTGTTCATGCAAAATCAGAATGATGAAGATCAATCAGAACATGTTAAAGATGAGCCATGTTTACAGCAGACTCCTTTACTTGGATCCGAGGAAGAACGTCAACAGAAAATTACTGAGACTGCAGTTCGGTTGAAAGAAAAATTATCTACCATTACCAAGGAAGATATTACTAATTTATGGCAAGATGATTTGTCCACGATACCATTGTCTAATGTAAAAGACAAAAATATACTTAATTTAGGTATGCTTAAATTAAGGCATGAACAACCTGAACTTAATCTTACTTTTAATGATTTTAAAGACATAGGTAGGATTGACTCAGACAATGTAAAGTCTGATAAAAATGATGGTACTAATGAAGTTAGAAAT